GTGCAGAACATTTGGTGATCCAACAATAACACCCCACCAATGTAATTGCAAAAGTAAAGATTTTATGTGGTGAGAAATGAATCAGATAATAAATATTGACATTCAATGTTTGTGACATAACCAAAAGACACTTTTGCCCTCACCTTTAAAACAAGTGTCAGGGCATCTCCAATGGGTAATACCAGGTTTTACATCAAATCCATAAAAACTGGTGTAAAATTTGGTGCAAACAACAAATCATTTTTTGATGGGTGACACGGAACTTTATACCAAAATATAAGATTCTAGGTATATTCCTTTTTATCTGCTCTAATGCTGGTGTAAATGAACGGTATTACATCCAATTCAATGTGTTCCAATTCATTGCAATATAATTTAAGATTTTATGTGGTAAGAAATGAATCAAATAATAGATATCGACATTCAATATTTATGACATACAAAAAGACACTTTTGCCCTCCCCTTCAACAAGAAGTGCTCAAGCATGGAGGTTAGAGGGTCCAACACCAATTGAAGGTATGGGAGATTATGTACTTTCTTTTTATGTCTATTCATACACATCTTGTGAAAGTTCAACAACATCAAAGGGATTTTGGTCCACCAAGTGATGATGGTTATGGCTTATTCCATATACCCATTATGGCTTAATGGCTTACAGATTAATCTGTAAAGAAATACTTTTGTATGGTTGTATGAATAAATTGTCTAGACTGTTAAGCTCATTAAGCCGTAATTACACAACTTAACCAAGTATGGCAATCATTAAGAAGTTCCGTTTGGTAAAGTCATAAAACCAGCACATAAACTTATTTTTTTGAAACGTTTTTTAAAGTAGATTTTTCTTTTTTAAGGAGGCCACTAATATATATTTTTCCAAATAATTTCTTAAAATGCCCTGTTAAACCGTTTTATATTGACATCTAACATATCAACTAGCTCTTACCAAACGTAACCAGTTTATTAGCCAACAATTTACATTTCAGCTAACAACTAGCTTACAAGAGCATCTACAACAGATTCTTCAAAATAAAGAATCAAAAATTCAAAATCTACAAAAGAAAATTACATTCGCTTCTCCATTTTGAAAATTAAAAACACTGATTATATTATTAAAATATTTCATACATTTAATAAAAATACTATTTATCTCTCTTAAACATTTAATTTCAAATATTTTTATTGATAAAATATAATAAAAACAATATTTTTTCTCTCATGATAAAAAAAAAATTTAGTTCTCTAAATTTCGAAAATTTCACACATTCTCTCATACTTTCTCTATTTAGAAAGGTTTTTAAGATTCCGTTGAAACAAAAAACTTGCTCAACAGTGAGAAGTGGATTGTCTTCAAGAGTGATGACTAGCACCATTCTGGTCGATCCTGTACATGATTTGGACGCACCGTAATCAGATTGTCTTCAAGAGTGAGAAACGGAAGTTAACGGAGATAGTGTTTGAAATGCAATGCAGATGCTTCGAGTATATTGCAGGTGGGTCACGAGGCAGAAAGTTGGACCGGGCGACGTGGATCACTGACCCAGTGGAGGCTAGGCATTAATTTGTTGTTCGTTTTTTGCTTTGTGTGACGACCCCGATCGAGCCTGTCGTGTCCGTCATTTGCATTTGCTTGGTCGTTCCAGTGTGGTTTGCGTTTTGTTGTTCTCATCTCTTGTTGGTTTGCTTCTTGCAAACGTCTGGTGGATGTGGTTTTTTGTTTCTTTTGGTGTTCCTCTTTGTTAATATTAACCAAATACTCGGGTACTTAAATGTTTAAAATTTTACATCTTAATATCAAAATAGAAATTCTGAAAGTACGTTACCTAATATAGGAATCAAGTTAAAATATGTTATTTTTTCATGCAATTTGCCCTTTATACTGTATAATATAAAAACAACATACACCGAAAAGACATACGAGTAAACAAAAGACATAAATTATGACACAATATTTTTGGTTTAAATGCTACATTAAATGTTGACAACAACTCTTTTATAGTTTTAATCTTAAAAGAAATAAAGAAATCTTGAATTAGAAACAACATCTTTCGCCTTTCAATTCGGAATCAAAACCTTTCCTTTCTTAAATCTTGTTCTTCATTGATTTTGAAAGTTCCAACATTGATACGTTGCTTTTCACCCCATAATTATATATACATAATTAAAGGGTCTTTGTCTTAATGGTATCGTAGTCTTTGGCTTACTAGAAAATCAGGGGTTCAAACATCACTAAAGATGATAAGGGTGTGTGTGCGAATCATTTGCCGTATCTAAATATTATATACTTCAAAAAAATTATATACAGATAAACAATTATCTTATTTTAGAAAATATATAGATTTAGGAAAATGCTTCGAATTATGCAAAACTCTTCTTTAAAACTGAGGGAAATAGAAGAAAGAGAACGAATCTTCAAGTTTGTGAAAGAAGAGATAAAAAAAATATAACATACCTTTTATAGATGTTCAACACAACTTCAATGAGTAAGGTTGGGTTCACGTGAGACAAGATTGTTTTCGTGAGACACAATTTTTACACTTAAAACTTCACAAAGGTAAAAAAAGAACGAATTTTCGCAGCCAAAACACTGTGTAGTGTAAAACTCATGTCTCACGAAAACAATCTTGTTTCACAAGATCCCAAATCTCCATGAGAAACACAAATCTTACATTAAAAGTATAAAAATTAGTGTAAAATTTGGTGCAAACAATAAATCTTCTGCGATGAGATGGATAATAAACAAAATGTTATACCATGAAATAGAATTCTAGTTATATTTCTTTTGATTTTCTCCTCTTGGTGCAAGATTTGATGTCCCCATTAGAATGATTTATGGGTCGTTTACCAAACTCTTACCCGGGTAAGTGCTTACCAATTAACATTTATCTCACCGGATGAATATGGTAAGGACCAAAAATCTTACCCGGTAAGAGCGGGACAAGGACCAAGAGTCTTACCTAGTAAGTGAGGGCGACGACTCTTACCACGGTAAGCACTTACCGGGTAAATTGTTGCATTTGATGTCGTTTTGGTGTACTAAAATTTTACCCGGTAAGTAAGTAATAGTGTCAAATTTTACCGATAAGCACTTACCGGGTAAGGGTTTGGTAAATGGCCCCTTAATATCAAAGTGTATTTGATATAAGATTGGAGATGATCTTATAATTTATAATGCTTTACTTTCTGTGAAACATAAAAACATCTCCAACAGCTATAGTGTAATATAATTTTTTATGATTGAAAAAATCTTTATGCTCCAAGAGTTATGTTATATTATATTATATGTTAAAATAGAAAAAAACTCTAAACCTTTAATACTTTATCTTAAAAAAAATATATAGATATTGGGACCCTAAAAACCACTAACCATGTTGTATCTTAGCATGTGAAAGTAAAACATTCAAAATTTATTTACTTCTTTTTTTTCAAAATGGAATGGTGTTTTATACATTTAGCAAGTACCAAAACCCAGGAGCTGTTTAGTAATTTTTGTTTGAAAGTTGTTAAATAGTTTGATATACAATGATTAAATGGTTAAAATGATTAAGAGACTTTAATGATAAAATGCAAAATGAAATATAATTGTTTAATAATTGTTAAAAGAGGTCCATGATACATAATCATTTAGAGGGTTTTAGAATAATTAAAAGGCAAATTTTTTTTGTCAAACAAGATTTACTTTTTAATAATTTAGAGGTTACCTCTTAATTGAACCATTAAGAGGTAAACAAACAACCTATAGTCCAGAGAAAATTTAAATTTTATTCTCTATTTTACTCCGACATAATCCTTATATTGTTCTATAAAATAGCAAAAATAAGAGAAAACTCCATACAGGGATAATTCTCTAAAACTTAATAGAAGAAAAAAAGATTTTTTTAATCATTTTCACCAATAAGATTAAATYATTATTATTTTATACAGTCTTTTAGAAAATGTATTAATTAATGAATGTTTTAATAATACAATTGATGTTGAAATCTCAAAAATAGAGAATTTATCAGAGTTAAGTACAATTTTTATAGAGATTTCAGTTTTTTTATTAACCTGGATATCCAACCCACTATGCGAGCTGACTAATCCCAAAACGACCACTTGTTTCGCGAGTAACCCTGAGTCACCATATTTGAACCTCCGTGTTCAGAAGGAGATTTTTATTCCTCTTTGGATTCGAACCTAGGACATCCAAACATTTTGATCTTTAAAGCCTAAGCTCAAACCAATCGGACATCACCCTTGCGATTGAGATTTCAACTTTTTGTTCTCCATTAAAAAATAAAGATAATTTGTTGAAGATACTCTAAATCCGAATACAGATTTATAATGAATCTACCACCGTGTAAGTAATCTTTTACGCAGAGGTTGTTTTTGTAAATACCTTGTATAAAAATGAAGCACATTAAATGTGAGAGCGTACAAAGAAGCGACTAGTACAACCAATGAAGTCGTCGCCCTCACTTTTTATACGAGGTAAAAGTCGCCGCTCTCACTTACCGGGTAAGACTTTTGGTCCTTGTTTCGTTCTTACCAGGTAAGATTCTTGGTTCTTACCATATTCATCCGGTAACGTAATGTAACTTGATGTTCACTTATCCGAGTAAGCGTCTGGTAAACGGCCCCTTAGTCCTATCGACTACATATAGATCTGAACGCACACGATCTATACTAGAGATGTACAAGGCCTGGCTTTCCATGCCCATTTTCATTGACTAAAAAAATGGCCCTCGCTTTTTTACATCGAGCCGGACTTTGGGGTTGAAAAAAGGCACGATTGGGCTTTTTATGGTCAGGCGTAACCAGCCTTTTGCAGGCTTTTCCAGGCCGTGACTGCCCCCCAAAATTTCTGCCTGAACAGGCTTTGAGGCCCGTCCCATATCGCGCTTCAAGCTCACTAGGCCTGGGCTTTTTCAGGCTGGGATTCTAACTTCGGATTTTTTGTGCATCTCTAATCTAAAACGACAAAAGTAGCACTGGTCCCGTATCGAACAAATAACAAGGTATCGAAATGCAACAATCGTTTTATTACCCGTATTTCGTATTATATGAATCAAATATAGCTTATTAAAATACAGACACAGCGCAATCGAAAATTATATAAAATGTCTCTTTTTTTCAATCATACCCTCAAAATATACAAACAAAAAACTCAACAAGTAACAGGCCCAAAAAGAATGTTTCATGATCAAACAAATCAAAACCCCAAATGATGGTATTATACCAAACAAGTATCGATCCCGTGGTTCGTGCTCGATTCTAGCAACGGATTCGGAGTGTTTCTTTGGCATAAGTAGGGTATGTCGGGTTTTCTGAGAAGGCTGTGAGCATTGAAATAAGCGAATAACGAGAGGTTTAGTTACGGGCTATATCTACCAACGTGAGAGCGCCACACATTAAAGACAAACCCAGTATATATGGCACGAAAGTAGGGTCGCCCCCGGGGGCGGGGGCAGGGAAGATGTAGGAAGGCGTTACCCTATCAAACGAGAACAGAGGCAAGGGCCAGACAATGTGACACCTAATAAAGATTTTATCCCTTTAAAAATCGATATTTGCAAAATAAACAAGATATAAATGGATATGCTTACTTCACGAAGCTACAGATCTTTGAAGCGCCTGGAAGGGCTAGTGAACTCGGTTTCGTTTTCCATGGTTACATCAGATGAGGCGGTGGATGAAAGGCCGTTGGTATCTCCTGCTGCTACACCTTGAAAAGTCCCTAAAACTTGTGGGTGATTTGAGGGATTTCTTTGGGAATCGGTGATCACGGGCTTTTGGCCCTCCTCGGCCAGTTTTCTGAGAAGGTTTGTGACGGTCGGAATAACCTTGGTAGATAAGGAGAGGATTCCGGGAAGCTGTAGCCATTAAGACAAGCATCAAATAAACGGGTATAAAAGACACAATAATACAGGGCATAATGCATCAAAAGGCAACAAAGTTTGTCTTAGGACCTGTTTGTTAGCAGCTTAATGAGCTTAATGGAACTCACAGCTTATTCGGTCAGCTATAAATGCCTGTTTGGTAATAGCTTAATGATATAGAAAGTGGCTTATTCAGTAAGCTTTTAGGGAGCAACTTTATGCAGAAAACCGAGTTTTTTTCAAACCCTCCCCTCCCAATTAAAAAACACTCGTTCCATTAATGAAAAGCTCTTAAACAAAAACCTTCAAATCTATACAGCAAGATTAATCCAAATAGACGGTTTTATCCATATATGACTTAATAGAAAACCAACCAAACAGCTACTATTTAATGGAGTAAATTAAGTTTTTCGTCCCTGTGGTTTGTTAAAAATTGCAATCATGTGGTTTAAAAATTGCAATTTTCTCCTTATGGTTTGTGGTTCATTGCTATTTTCATCCTTATGATTTACGATTTATTGTGCTTTCAGTCCCTGTGGTTTAGAATTCTTACTGTTTTTGTCTCTTGTATTTAAAGGTTGGAACTAGTACAGGGATGAAAATAGCAATAAATTGCAAACCATAGGGACCAAATTCGCAATGTCCAAGCCACAGGGCCAAAAATCGTAATTATTAACAAAACAATTGGGACTAAAATCGCAATTTCTAAGCCACATGGACAAAGAAAGTAACTATTAGTAAACGACAGGACGAAAATTATAATTTACTCTATTTACTGTAACAAATAATTTCTTTTTTTCTCCATCAATGTAACAAAGTTTCAAAATTTTCCTACTTAATGTAATAAAGTTTCAAAGTTTTCCTTTTAAATGTAACATTTGATGATGTGGATATCAAGTTTATCGTCCATTTTCATAAACATTTCGTACACGGGTATCAACGTCATCAAATGTTACAAGATCAGCAGGTTAAAGGTCAAAATGGGTACAAAAAAGAAAATTTTGGAACATCGCTACACTTTTTTCGTCACGTCAAATAGGAACTAAGCCAAATTTATATGCATTTTGCCCCAATAATGCATGCTGAGTTCTTAAAATTTAATCTTTGACTTCCTTCAAGACAATCAGATATAACTCACCATGCCATTGCGAAATTCACCAGATATGTCGAGTTGAACCCACAAAGCTTTGCTAAGCAGATAACCTACGAATATAACGAGCAGCCACAAAGGATTCCTGCAAAAAAAGCTCAAAAAGGTGTAAACTGTGGATTCTAGTAAGGTTGTTCGCGGTGCGGTTTGGGGCCAATCCGCAAACCATACTGCATATGCGGTTTGAGCATTTTCTCAAACCGCAAAAACCACACCGCAACATGAGGTGCGGTTTATGCGGTTTGTACCTATCGCACTTTATTCCTACAATCCAATAATTATAAGATACATTACAATATCAACAATGACGTGACCTTAGTCCCAAAAAATTAAAGGGTTTCAATACATCCGATATCTAAATACGTATTGCATAATTAAAAATAGTCTAGGAAGTTAAATAAATAAACTTCTAACTAAATTGGACGTGTGAGTTGTGACATGTCCAAGTCCATGCGTCCACACTTTTTCTTTCATCTCGATCCTTTATATATACAAGGGCAGGTTCAATTAGGAATCTTAAATATTTTAGGAACGCAAGAACAACCTACTTTGTGAGTATTCATGATGAATATTATTCATCATGAATATTATTCATCATGAATATTTAGTGTTCCTAAAATATTGTGTTCCTAAAATATTTAGTGTTCCCGAATGGACCTCTCTCTATATTTATATATAATTAAAAAATATATAAAATATGCAGTGCGGTGCGGTGCGATTTGAACTGCGGTTTGATAACTCAAAACCGCAAACCGCACCCCACAGTGATGTTTGGTAATAATACAAACCGCAAACCACACCGCAAATGTTCTAAACCGAGGTTTGGTAAAAATGCAAAACGCAAACCACACCACGGATGTTCTAAACTGCGCTTTGCGTTGTGGTGCGGCGGTTTGTGTGGTGTGGGCGGTTTGGATGAACACCCCTAGATTCTAGTATGAAAAAATGGGAACGAAAAAACAAACCAACCTCAAAAGAGTCATGAATTCGTTGAATCCAAGGATCACCAACGCAGCCATAGCCCATGGAGGTGGTAACCAGTTGTTATTACGCTTATTAGCTTCCTGAAAACCGTTGGACGCAAAATAAGACGAATTTACTGTTTATTTGCAAATTGAAGATGCGAGATGTTGAACGATATAAAAACAGTACCTGGGAAGCAATGGCTTGAGTAATAGTATACTCCGTCTCTCTTTGAAATTGACTCCACAACGATTTACACTGAACGGGAGTGATGAGTGTTTTCGTTGCTGGAACCTGGACAGAAATAAACAATATGCAATTAATTGTTACCATTTAGTTGTAAATGGTTCAGATTCACCAATATCAAACCAAACGAGCCCAGTATATCCCACCCGGAGGTGGGGTCTATAAGCTCCCACATCGGATGGGGAGGGGAACTAAGGTTGCCATATAAGGGACTGGATACCTCCTCTATCATATGTGCTCTAAATCCATGAGTCCAGGTGTAGACAAAGTGGATAATATCTGGTACGATTGGTCTGTGATGTTACAAATGGTATCAGAGCCAGGAACCTAACTGATGTACCAGCTAGGACATTGGGAACCCTAGGGTGGATTGTAAGATCCCACATCGGTTGAGGAGGGGAGCTAAGGTTGCCATACGTAGCCATGAGTTATTAAAAATATGCGTTTGCGCGATCTCCAAGTCCAAATACCCAACGGTACCCGGGTTACGTGAGTATTTGTTGTATATAAATATTATTTACTTTAAAAATAATAATAATACCTCTTCCCATGTGCTTGAGGCCAATGGATCCTGAAAGGAGGTACTCTTGTCTTTCTTCTGTTCTACCAATGCAAGGACTAACGTGTTTCCAATCTTATCAGCGTCTACATCCAAACGAATTGCGGCCAATACGGAAAGCAACTTTAAAGACTGAAACATAAATAAATCAAATAACCAAAGATCATAAGCCACACTAAAACTAAGTGGTTTGGGATGATATAAGAAAATGATCTCAGCCAATATTCTCCTAGGAAGTGACTCTTACATAAACCAAAGGGTCAATAGCCCAGCGGTAACCAGGTTACGAGTAGAGCCAACCTCCCAGCAGGTCAAGGGTTCAAACCTCACCAAATGTGAGAAGTGTGTGTGAGTATTTGTCTTATATAAATATTATATACTAAAAATAGTGACTCTTACAGAAGACCGAGCTGTTTTGGTAATTGTTCGTATATCTTCCTTTCCGGTCCAGATTCGTGGCATTGAATCACTATCATGGTTGAATAGCAACGTAAATCTGTTCAATTTAAGAGATAATAATGATGAGCTACAATGAAAACACAAGTGAAATCCCTTCACCGATGATGGATTTGATCCAGTAACGACAAATTAGCAAGTTATACCTCTCTTTCATGCGGTATAGAACTTTTCCTGCTTCTTCCTTTGTTTTCCCTTCAATTATTTCTCTAGCATAATTTTCCAACTTTGAAACCATCTCTTCCTTGGCTTGTTCATCCATTTCAAAACCAGAAAGTGCAACAGAAAACTCAGAGACGGCAATTTTAATCTCATGATGAAGAAGTTTCCGTATTGCAGACCAAGTATCATCGCCACCTCCTTCTAGAAGGGCCGCCACAGGTCCATACAATGCCTCTTTCAATTTGGACTGCATAAATATGCAAAATAATTATATGAATACTTGAATCAGTTGATAATCCAATCATAAGGTCATAATTCACAGGTTAATGTTACCTCATATAATGCATTAAGTTCGGATAGCTTGGCAGTTTGAACTTCAGCAATATGTGAGTCTATATCACGTGAAAACTTATCCCTTATTTTAGTCAAATCCCAATCAGCCTGTTTGATAGTTGCATCTGTAGATTCAATGTCTTAGGCCCATAGACAAGTATTGCGAGCATATGTGCAAAAAACATATATAAATTCCCGATGATTGTTTGTTGAGAGACGGTATATGGCAATGCAACCGATACATGTAACTTTCATAACCAAATGCAGCACATAAGTTAAAGATAACTGCCTATGTTCAGAGACCCACAATCAAAAGTGCCGAACCAGCATATAAATGCTTGATAAAAAATTATAAGAGTGAAGGTTTTAATTACATAGAATCTCAAATGTCAATAAGAACTAAAGGTTGTTCAAGGAAATGGCATCTAAAGGCATACCTTTGCATTGTTCATCAAAGAGCTTCATGAATGATGTCGTGCAATCACAAGCAGCAATTGCAAACCCTTGTCCTCCACTCAAAGCATCATGAAGTGCTTTTTTGAATTTATCTAGTGTCTCTGATTGTATGTGTTCCAGCATCAATTGGTAGGTCGGTTGAACAAGCTGCACAAATCATAAGATAACAATCATTGAGTACAACATATATGAAACATATTTAGAAATGACCCAGCTATATGGACAATCATGAGGAAAATTACTTGAATCAACTTCTCTTCCAACTGCCTTCGCTTGGCAGATCTAACACTATCTTCAAAGTATGTAGCCTCTTCATCATAACTGAAAGCAGAAGAATTAAATAAAATCTTAAGGCCACAATGTCATGCAGGTTTAGCATCAGCGCATATAACAAAGAAACTAGTATAAGCATAAAGTAAATACCCTAAGGACATGTTTGTCAGCAGCTTAATGCGCTTAATAGGACTCACATCTTATTCGGTCAGCTATACATGACTGTTTGGTAATGACTTGATGATATAGAAAGTAACTTACTCGATAAGCTTCTTCGCGGGGGCGGAGGGCTTTATGCAAAAAACCAAGTTTTTTCCAAACCTCCCCCCCCCCAAATTAAAAAACACGCTCTTTCCATCTATGGAAAACTCCTCCCAAACAAAAACCTTTCCAATCTATACAGACAATTAATCCACATAGACAGCTTTATCCATACAAAACTTAATGGAAAACCAATCAAACAACCCCCAACACATGCTTTGACAATTATAATTTTCAATTAATTATTTCTTAGAACAGTCACTAATTCACTTGTCTCCCCTTCAAGCAGAAAACTGACCCCTACCTTTTGGTATTTTATACCTTATTATCTCGTTACACAGTACATCCAACACCTACAACACGAATTCTAAGCATGATCTCACAACTTAGGCAAGCTTTTCCAATCTTATTACCGCTAAATAGTTAAACTGAAGCTTGGCAGCGTGCAACAAGAGAAAAACGTACCCTAACTCAACAAAACAACCGCTTCAACATCAGTTAAGGTGATCAAACTATTGGAGATAGCTTCATAGAATCATATTATCGTGCAGGGGCAGACCTACACTGATTGATACGGTGGCACAGGCCAGCGCTTCATGGTTCCATCGTAAGGGGGGAAAAGTACGTTTCTGAAGGGTGCTACTGTTTTATTTTGTGGGGTTCCCCAATATAGTTATTGAAACTGACATTTAAGCACAAGACTTTAATGGTGGAGATGGTTAATGCTTCTTACTTTGTACAAAAGGCCCGAGTAGTTAGAGTCTCACTCGTGTCAAATTTGTTAATTTTTAGCTTAAGTTTTTGGGGGTTATATACCTCTTGTGTTTTAAAAAAGATATGTAGGCAGGACTCGAACATGCTTTATGGAGGGACAAGGAACCAACCAACAGAATTATACTAATGTTATGAAATTTTCTTTAGATATTTTTTGTAGTTAAATTGTGTCAGCACTTAAAAAAAATCTGGGCCCGCCTCCATTATCATGTTGAAAGGCCATCGTAATTGGTTTTGAAACATATGCAACAATGCAGTAAATTATGTTACCTGGATAAACAAGCATCAAGCATTGAACTAATCTTCCGGCCAAAGCCTGGCACAATATGAGATTGTACAGCATCTTCCAAGTCACACCAGTCCTGCTTACAAAAATAGTGTTTAATAGAATGTACTTGGGGATTGCAAGTGGCCTTTTTAAGATTTACCTCATTTGTTACAAAGAAAGAGTACTTCTCATTTGCAATTTCTTCACATCTTACGGTTGCCACCATCACCTGCAAAACTACCAGGTTCTTTAACATCCACATGATATAAAGGAACTTTTTTGAAGCTTCGACAAAGTCGAATGTTAAAAAATTTACCTTGTGAGCAGGCAAATCAAGGTCCTTGTTCTCTTTAATAACTTCCCAAATCTGTTGGGCACTAAATGAGAAACCCGAAGCAGGAACCACCCCCCTCCTATCTCCTGCTAGGCCATTAGGTGCAATAGAATGGAAGAACCTTTGCCTCAAACTAGCCACCTTTAGTGAAAAATATATATAATTAGGAATGTAAAATGCAAATGACAAATATTACGACATGTTTTTAAATGATTTTATGAACTTGATCAAAATCCAGAATACAGAAAAAGACATGGTCAGAGGCGGACCCACTAAGGACTGAGTGGGGTCCAATGCACTCAATCACTCGATTATTGCAAGAGAAAAATAATGAAACGTCTTGAAAGTGCACCCGCTTAATTATAAGAGTGCCCTTAAATATTTGTAAACCAAATTTATAACACGAATATGAATCGGGTGAGATGGTTGTAGTGACTTTGTTAAAAGCGCTCTTCCAAGAGGTCGCAGGTCCAAGGCTTGTTAGCAAATGATTAATTTTTTATCTTTTTAAATTGTTCATGTTATGAAATTCTTAAAAAATAGAAGGGTGTTCTGCAATATTTTAAAACTAAAGGGGCTAAACCAAAACAATTAATAAAACTTATCTAAACAATGAGTTTTTGTTCCTACTTTTGTTCTTTAACCACCACCCATGAGGAATCGTCCATCCTCTCCTCTATTTCGTATTTTCCGAGCATATTATTGGTTCCAGTTACTTATCTATACTATATTATAAAATATTTGACAAAAACTCTTAAAAACCATTGTTTATGCATGAAGTACTATATATTGATGCATATTACTTAAAATTCAAGATTACAATGAAATTATGCATAAGTACAACCTATTAAAGCTCCATGTTTGAATTCGTGTAACTAACTGTGGATAAACATAACCAAATAGAGGATAAACATCTCATTTTAAAATATAAAAAATCTAAAATATAATTAGGATAATTATCGAGTTCTAACAGAATCGTTATCTTTATAAAAAATTTATTGTTAAGCCAAAAATAAATCACTTCACTATTTGACCTTAATTAAATTATAATCAAAAAATGAATTATACAAATTATATAAAAAAAAAGAATTTTTAAATAGTTAATTTGATATTAATATCGATATATTTTTTTAAATTTTATGATGTCTTCAAATTTATTTTTATTCAAAAGTAAAAACATTATCTTTCTCAAAACTACATAACCCGTATTATATCAACAAAAACAAAAATAAAACGAAACATTAAAATGAATATGTATCTCGCTGCATTGCGCGAGTACCTTCTATTTGTCCTAAATTGTTTTAATTTCATTACTGGTGTCTTATTTACTCTAAATTCTAGGTTTGGGATACGGAAACAAAATTGGCTAGAAAAAGAAAAGATAAAGAACAATCAAAATGAAGGAACTCAGCAAAATCCAAAAGATTAGAAATTTTACGAAATTAACTTAAAAAACAAAAAAGTCGCTTGTAATGATGTAATTTGGCTAAAAACACATCAAGCGTAAGACATAGGCTTGCGTCTTGCTCAAAAGATCAATGTCGATTTCATTTTTTAAAAATAGATCTTATTCCCCCAAATCGACACCATTAACTTTTTACTAGGTCAAATCGCTTTGGCATCCCCCTCCGGGCGGGCGTCCACAGTGATTTTACGTACGACTCTTTGATCTACCTTAAATGTGCACCTGCTCAGAAAAATTTCTGGGTAAGCCACTGGACATGGTCCCACAGTATGTTTTTTAAATGACGCTATTAAAAAGATCTGAAAAGAAGTATAGTATTGTGGAAATATCGTAGGATCATGTGAAAACCATATTAGAGCATTATCATCATTTAAAATATCCATGTCTCTTATAAGATAAGTACAAATAATCTCTGGCATACCTGCTCCTTAAATTGTTCTTCTTTCTCTTCGAAACTAGGAAGGGCAACAACTTCTACCTGGTCACTCAACAAGTAAGAAATTAATATTCATAGTAGTAAACATATTCCCAATCTCAAGAAACAATAATATTGAAAAGAAAACAATAGCAATATCATGGTATCTTACATTAAAAAATTCACTCAGTGGAGTCTGTTTGTGGGCTTCTGGCTTGGGAACAGAATCCCATATCTGGAGCAAAAAAACACAGCATTAAAAGAATTACAATTGTGTTGACCTTTGAAGTAACAAAATAAGGAATAACACTTACCTTCTGGACATCTTCCCTCAAAACAGGCTCTAGATTTTCAAGAGGTGTCTATACAAAAAGAAAAGGATAATTACATCAAATATGATCCAACTTACATATATTCTTAGTCTCTTAGACCAAGATTAGCCTAGACAAATAATATATTCTTTTAGGGTGCATTTGGTACACTGAACAGGACAAAACAGGGATCACTATTTCACGTTTGGCAAGCCTTTTATGTGGAACAGATAGGAACATAATGGAACAAACTGGAACAGGCGCATTTCACCTCCACCCCATGGAACAAGGTGGGACAGACTTATATTTTACCAATATAACATCAAAATAAAACATAATTCTCTTCTAAAACATCAAGAACGCCTCCCTCTTTAGAATTTATTCATTCTTTAAAATTTATTATTGTATTTTATGCTCTTTAAACTTTCACATTACTGTCCTCAAAATACTATTTTTATATGGTTTCTATATTTTGGTTAATTTATGTAATTTATTAAATCTTAATAATAATAAAAATAATATAGAAAAGGTATAAAACAAAATTGGAAACTATGTAAACTTTTTATTTTGGTGTCATTTTATTCTTCTTGACGAAAACTTTCTAATGATATATTTTGTTATAAAAATATTTATTTTATTATAATTTAATATATTAATAAATTAATCAAAATATATAAAAGATATCAACAACTCATTAGGGGTAAATTTGTCATTTTATTTGTTCTGTCATGTCCAGTTTTATCTTACCAAACGTTGAACAGTTGTTCTGTCCTATCCTATCGCGATACCAAACACACCCTTATAGACATGTCAAAAGTCTATGGCAGAAGAGAAACACAAGGGACAAATTACCCTTGTTTTATCTCGTATAACGAACATCAACGTTGTTTTACGTGGACTAAACAGTCGCAACATAACCTGAAATACAGAAAGTATAAATTCAGTAGTTTGCCCTTAGAACTAACATATGAAAATGTTAAAATACGTTATACAACACACCTGGAATACGGTTTTCAAAAGAGGTTTGTTTGCAGCCTGCTCACGTCCAATATCATGACACCACCTTCATAACACAATTTACCCCAAGGAAAGCAATTATAAATTTACCGAAAAACTCGTATTTGAATACTTGTATCAGATTACCAGAAGACATACATGTTTATAAGAACTATATCTGAAACAGCAAGTGCAAAAAGTGCGCTCTGCTTTTCAAATGCAGTATCATCCTGCAGAAGCAGCAAAAGCTTAATAAATAAGAGAACCCAGAGATGCAGTTGTCTTTTTCTATTCCTGGGTTTATCAACAGAAAGTTCAGATCCTTATTCATAGAGCTACACATAATTGGGAGATCTCTCAATCAAGATACTAATGGTCGATGGCAAAGCTGTAAAAGGCTCAAGGAGTACTTAGTCGCAAAGGGGTCCAGGGCCTAGGCGGCGAACGCAGGCCTCAGGAATGTGAGGTGCATCTTATATAAAAAAATTATATACACACACACAGTTACAATATATATACACACACACAGTTACACACAACTCAAATATGTAGAAGGTGCAGCAACCAACATTATTTGGATAGAGGCAGAAGGGAGAAGGGTTTAAAGCGTGAGCCATGCGGGAGAAGTTTTAAGGTCGGGGAATTTATAGAGAAAGAGGCTTGAAGTTATAAGAACCGGGTATTTAGTATTAGGGTTTGACTTAGTCATCTATTTAATAACTCTTTTTTTAAGACGTCTAGAAGATAAGAAGATGAGAAAACTTATTTAATATTGGGGTTTGATTTGGTATTTAATTCCTCTTTATGAGGCGCACCTAGGCCCACAAGGCGCCTTAGTGAGCCTCGTGAATACACCTAGCCTTGACCTTAAAAAAGCCCAAGACCTTGAGCCTCACAGCCTAGGCATGCCTCAGGCGTGCTCTTAACACTCGATGGAAAATTCCAAAACAAATTTTTTATCACCAAGTTTGATATGCTTAGGATAATCATGTTCATGAGTACAAAAAACATGGAAAGAAATATGATATAAGAACCACAGGAAATCATGGACTTACAGATGTTAACTGTCTAGAAGGTCACTCCCAATTTCACTATCCAACTACATGAGTTCTTGAGACCAAAGATTCAATTTAATTTAGTAGCCAATCATCTTAACATCATTAATGATATGCAGTTGTCCATTGCAATTCCTATCTTTCTATATGAGATCTTATCTTAATCTTAAACGAGCATAAGCCTAGCTGAGACAACCCAAGCATCTCAAACTATACTCAACGAACCCTATAGCATGCAATGTTACAAATCAAATATAGATTGAAAGGGGTACCATGAAGGATCCTGAGTAACAAATCATGTAAAAATAGTTTCTTTCTCGAATACAACTCTTAGAAGTGCTTTAAACCAAACATGAATAGAGCCTATGTAGGGCTCGATCTACAACTCTAAGGAATCCTTTTGGAGTTTTGACGTACGGTCACAAGGAATTCACCTCAAAACTAAGAAATCTTGAGTGTGTGTTAAGATAAACCGAAATATATATGAGAAGAAAACCGAAAAACAGATTGCCGCAAAAATAACTATTTAAGTAAAGCACCAAAAATAAATAAAATACAAATAAGTAACAACCTCTCCTCGCTCTCTTCCATCAGTACCCTCAAGATCCATTACTATGGTGCAAGGTTCAATACCAACACATCTTGCCATCCAAATGCCTTTGGTGGTTTGAGACCTGATAAAGGCCAATGCATTAAGTTACAAAAATCTAGAGATTGATGAAGAAAACCAAGACACGGTCAAAATAGATACATGCCTTCCCCTATAAGCATCCATTTCCTTAAAGTTTGTGTTAAAAAGATGATTCAGAAGTGTGCTCTTCCCTGTCACAAACACACAGTCAAAACTTGCATGTAATGTAATCTCAATATATGTCAATGTGAAAGATCCATGATACTGGGGAGCACTACACCCCAACATCTTGTATATCTCAACTTGTAACCCCCACCAAAGAGAAAAAGTGATCAATGTTACCATAAACAAAATATTTCTTCCAAAAACATAGAAGAAAATAAGAGAAAAATAAAGAATATTGAGTGGAGGAAAGAACAGCTATCAAACACGATGCCACCACCGCAGAAATAAAACGTCCACGTATTAGATAATCAAAGTGGCAATGTGCAAAACTTTTTTTGGGTGTTGGGGAGATGATAATACAAATATTATATATTTTTCAAGTTGCAAAACCCATCAAAAGAAACAAAGAAGTAAACTAAACAAGTATTAGCGTAAACTATAAGTTTTTTATAAAACAATGGAAAATAACAGGAAAGGGACAACATTATTTGGAGGAAAAATACTATCAAACGAGATGTTTCGCACGTGAAATAAAACCTCCGTGTACTATGATTGGATAATCACTTTGCAACACATTGGGTGGGGGTGGGAAGACGATATACCAAAATCTAACCTATCATCATGCCTAGAGAAAGGATGTCTTACTTTGTGATGTGAAATTTTATAACAAATAAATTTAACTTTAAAGAAAAGGTATTTTCCTCAGTAACATGTGTACGTTCATTTTTCAACAGATTATAGAAGACATACCGCTGCTTTGAGGTCCCATGATTGAAACAACAGCATAAGAAAGCCCACATTCAGCCATTTTTACTTGCTTGATAAAACTATCAAGTCCTTCCCCATTGAAAGTGCCATCTCCTTCTATGAGGTGGGTGGAGCAGCAACCAGCTTCTTTGTCTATAAAACACAACACTTGAATCAATATATCATGGTTCCATGAGCCTGTGATCTTCGTCTCATAAATTAAACAATCGACTGAGCAACTTGACTAGGAACATCACAATTTTCATATGATCGAGCGTTAACATTTCAATTACAACAACCTAATGCATTTTTCAAGATAAGTGTTGCTAATTAGTAACATGAGAATGTGTGGAACCTCGGATTAATCTCCAAACGAGCCTTTGAGGAGAGAAGGGAGAATATGTTCTTGATAGAATTTTAATCTTACTTTATGATGATCCATTCCTGTTTCTGTTTTCAAGGAGACACAAGTCAAGTTCACAAGAACATTTATTTAAGTTCAATGCCACTTATTTGTTTCATCCATATTCCAGATCCATTTCACCACCCAAATTTTCCTTCAAAATCACACTCCCATTTTCTTCAACATAAGAAACAAGTCAATAACAAAGTCTCCCAGAATAAATCAACTACCCCAACTAAACTCATCAAAGATCCTAAGTTCTTACAATTTCACCATACAGAACTTCAGAATTTGCACCAAAAACAACATCAAATTGCAGCAGTACCTAATTACTCAGCAAAAACAGTTAATAGCACCAAAAAGCTAAACAAGATCGAAATTGAACTTCAGTTGATAGTATTTAAAGCTTATTACCGTTCACAACTGTAAAAATACGAACAATGTTTGAATCAACTATTGATGCATTAGGGTTTAAATGTGCAAACGAAAGAACAAATACATTAGATAGCATAAATTGAACACTTATTATGAAGAAATCGAATAACATACCCATCGAAATTTGTTGAATCGCGAGATTTGAGATTTTGCTGTTGAATATGAAGAGAAACAAGTAAAAGGAGTGCGATCTGAGGTCAGCATAAAGCCATAAACCTGCTCTGTTTCTCTGTCTTATAGCAAAAGGAGCCGTCACACTTTCTTTTCTTGGGTATAAAATAATCCTTTTTTAACAAAAAAAAAAAAGGAAATAAGAATAAATATCTATAAAAATACCGACTTCCCAACGTTGGTAATTTGTATAACATTAAATTACGTTTTTAGTCCTTATAGTTTTTAAAAGTTATAACTTTTTCCCTTGTGGTTTTGAAATTAAATTTATATGGTTTGCAATTTATTGTTAGGGACTGTATAACAGTTTTTTGATTGTTTGGTGCATAATGATTAAGTGGTCATAATGATTAAGAGGTTCTGATGATGTAGTGCAGAATGAAATATAATTATTTAGTAGTTTTGTTTTACAATGAAATTATGACGTTGAATGTTAAGTGAGGCCCAAAATACAAAATCACTAAGGGTGTGTTTGGTTTGCGGGAATGTTTTTGAGGGATTTGGATTCCCTTGAGGGATTTGGATTCCATGGGATTTGGATTGGATTTGAAATCCATTCCTCTGTTTGGTTTGTAGGATTTGGTTTCTAATACTTCGTATAATTTTTTAACCTAATCTGTGTTCATGAGATTTCAACCTAATCTGTCAAAATTGAAGGATTTAACCTAATCTGTGTTCATGTATATTCAACCTAATCTGTCAAAATTGAAGGATTTAACCTAATCTGTGTTCATGTATATTCAACCTAATCTGTCAAAATTGAAGGATTAACCTAATATGTGTTCATAGTTTAGAGAGAAATCCAAAAGGGGAAAATGATTTACCTGTTGATGATAGGCGACGGAGACGAAGGGCGACTGTTGACGAAGGGCGACGAAGACGAAGGGCGACGGCGGTGGCAACGGAGACGAAGGGCGACGGCGACGGTGGCGACGGAGACGAAGGGCGACGGCGACGGTGGCGACGGAGACGAAGGGCGACGGCGACGGTGGCAACGAAGACGATGAGAAGGGGACAACGATGAGAATGAGACGATAATGAGAAGGAGACGATGATGGGAATGGATTTCAAATCCCGTGTAAGGGCGAAGGATTCTCAAATCCAGTGTTGGTGGGATTTTAAATCCGACCATTTCTACAAACCAAACGCAGGATTGGAATGGATTTCAAATCCAAATCCCTCCAAATCCCTCAAACCAAACACGCCTTTAAGAGACAGCATGTGAATCATTAGGAGGTGAATCTTGTTTGACAAACAAAAATATGTCTTTTAATACTATTAAGGGTCAACAAACAACCTTCTTTTCTATTCATGTGGTTTCAGTTCATATGCTTTGCAATTTATTGTTATTTTTATTTATTAAGTCAGCTATTGTCTTTAAATGTGAAGAACATAAATAAAAAGGAGTTGTAAATAACATGAACGAAAACATCAACAATTTGTATATTACGTGAAGAAAATAGCAATGAATTGCATACCATATGAACTAAAACCATTATTTCAAAAATACATAGATGAAAGCATCAATTTTCAACAAACCATGAATGTAATTTACCTTTTTATAGAGTAAGTTACGGTTTTGGTCATTATAGTTTATTGGAAGACTTGGTTTTGGTCCTTTGAGTTTCATTTATTACATGTATAACCCTATGGTGTACAATGTTTTTTGGTCCTAGTCCCTCGACTCAACAACCATCTATCGAGATTGATAAAAGGATAGAAGAACGAGAGTAAATATTTAAAAAAATAAATAGAAATGCCAACGTTTGTAATCTTTATAAAAAATATATATAACGGTTTTTAGAGTAAATTACAAATCAGCCATTGAGGTTTATTAAATCTTTGATGTGTTCATCCCTAACTTGTAGAAATTACCAGGATCGTCATCAAGGTTTCAATTTCATTGCATAATGGTAAATGATTGTTAAAGGTCGTTTGTTGTTGCCATTAAGTGAGAGTTGTTTGCTCTGACATCTGCCATTCACCTCTCTTATTAATTTTCGTCTAACAATTATCCATATCTACCCATTGAGTTTGACGATATTTACATAACGACATAGTCGTCTTGATATGTTCCAAAGTTCTCACTTGCTTTGTGGAGCTATCGACTAAGTTTCGAAAATAGGGTGTCGCTTTATGCTTTACGGTTTTTATTGATCTGCTGTTCATATTCGGTAGTGGGTCATCCGAAATCTGAGAGTGAATAGGCATGGCAACGGGGCGGGGATGGGGCGGGTTTAGTAATCCCCGGCCCCACCCCGGTTTGTAATACAGTCTCCCGGCCCCGGTCCCCGGCGGATACGGGGATTATCATCTTGTCCCCGGTCAAATTCTAGCAATCCCCGGTCAAAACCCGGTAAAAAGTATGCTTTAGTTTGATTATACCGGGGATCCCCGGCCCCGACCCCGTTTTGAGTAACATTCCCCGTCCCCGGACCCGTCCCTGGTTTGAGTCTACCGGGGATCCCCGGGACCCGTTTTAGCGAGGAATCCCCATCCTCGTTCGGGTCGGGTGAACCGGGTTCCCCACCGGGTCGGGGCAAATCACCATCCCTAAGAGTGAAGGACGGTGAAGGGAGACGGTGGTTGGGGGTGGGGGTTAATTTAGGATAATAAATATGATGTTTTGGTAAGTATGTAATAATTACTATATAACTTGACAATTTACGTTCATACAATCAATTATTAAAAAAGATCTACTGATTGACGATCAAATTATGTACAAATCAAAAGCTATGAATGCTTGTTGTACTGATTGAGGGAAATATCATAATTACATCCGGGGGATTAAGAGCATCTCTAATATGTCATTTTTCAAAAATGACAAATTGCATTAAAAAATAACGTGCATTAACTTGATTCGTATTTTTTGTAATGTACTTTCAAAACTTTCATTTTGGTATTTAAGATGTAAAGTGTTAAACAATTAAGTACACGGATAACCGGTTGAAGAATAATTTAAAAAAAATAATAATAATGTCATCAACAACGTCAACATATAATATTGAGTTGAATATCACATCAGCATGATAACCGATTAATGTTTTAATCAGTTACCCAATAACTTAAATGTTTAAAACTTTACATCTTAGATACCAAAATGAAAGTTTTTAAAGTATGTTACCCAAAATAAGAATCAAGTTAAAGTACGTTATTTTATCATGTAATCCGCCCTCTCCAAAATGAAAAATCAAAACTCAATTCTTGTAAAAAAAAACATTCAACTCCAACAAATTCTCCATTTTAAACATTGCAGTAGTCATTATATTAATGAAATATTTTACATTTGATCAAAAAGATTATATTTCCTAAACATTTAGTTTAAATAATTCTTATTGGTGCGATATAATATATTTTTTTCATCTTTCATGATAACCGTTTTGGCTAGGGGTGAGCATAGGCGGGTACCCGCCCTTTTGACAGGAACAGGAACCGGCAGTTCTTGAGATATTGGAACCGGAACCGGTTAGAGCGGTTCTTAAAATTTTGGAACCGGAACCGGAACCGCCGGGAACCGGTTCCGGGTACCCGCTTCCTAAAATATTAAAATTTTATTGTTTAGAAATAAAAAATAAAACATTGCCAAAACACTAAATAAATAAGCAAGAATACAAATTATACAAAATAATTKTTACAAATATTGTTTRAYRATTACAAACTATAATAGACTAATAGAAAATATTCAAAGTTTAATGATTACATATTATAATGGTAAATGTTCAAAGTTTAACGATTACATACTATGAATCCAAGTGAATACACAATTTGAAAAAATACGAATCATTTTATATGGAGAATTTAGATGAAGAAAGAAAATGGCGACGTGCTTTCAATATGTAAACCTAATATAAATTTGGTATTAAAAAATAATAATTATTTTTTTACTTGAAAAATACCGGGTACCCGGCGGGTAACGGTTTCGAAAAATTGAGAACCGGAACCGGAACCATTCTCAATCGGTTCCGTATTTTAGGAACCGGAACCGGAACCACTCATATCGGTTCCGGTTCCGGTTCCGGAACCGGCAGTTCCAAGGCGGTTCCGGTTCCATAGCCGGGTACCCGGTTCTGCTGCTCACCCCTAGTTTTGGCGGAATTCTCCAAATTTTAAAGAATTTACTTTCTCTATTTTGAAGAAAAAGATTTAAATAATCTGTTAGAGCTAAACAGTGTCCAAAGTCCCCATTTTCCCATTTTGGAGAATATGATTGGTTCACGTGAGACAAAGTTGTTTTCGTAAGACACAATTTGTACACTTGAAACTTCACAGTAAAAATGATGTGAAAGTAAAAAAAATGAATCTACACACAAAAACACTGTGAAGGTTACCTTCACAATGTTTTGTTGTGAAGTTTCAAGTGTAAAATCGTGTCTCACGAAAACAACATTGTCTCACATGATCTCAAGTCTTAAAAAAAATATGTTGCAGATGCTTTAACGAGCCGAGTCAAGTCGGATTGTAGATTATTCGACTTTGGCTCGAAAAGATATAACCAAATTTATGCTCCGATATTTTTTCAATATTCAAGCTCGAGTTTCCATTTACACCAAAAAAACTCAAGCAAAATTGTTACTTTTTGATTTATGTTTACTCGTACATTTTATTATTTTATATATTTTTTATCACATATAATTTAATTAAAAAATCATTTAATTTTTATATTTAAATTATGTGTTCGTAAAGTACCAAAGTTTGCGCCAAACTGTTTGTTTGTGGCAGCGTGCCACCGACTTGCGGGTCCAACTTACGGACCTTTTTCGTAAAAGGGACCGGCCATTGCTTGCCACCCATTATTCTTTTTTTCTTTTTTATCTCATAAAAATAATAATACAAAAACATAATAATTTATTTTTAATAAATACGTCATATTCAATATTTAATATTTTAAGTTTATTAAATTTAGAGATACTTTAACAAACATTTACCGGTAAAATTCGACATTATCATTTACTTATCGGGTAAGACTTTAGTCTATCAAAACAGTATCATATGCAACAATTTACCCAGTAAATGTTTACCATGGTAAGAGTCACCACCCTCATTACTGGGTAAGATTTTTGTCTTTGTCTCGCTTACTATGAAATGCCGTGAAATCCCAAGCATCCCCTAAGGATTTCAAAATGTTATGTTTGTAGGATTTTAAATTCAGACAATCCAACAAATTAAACATGAGATTGTAATAAATTTGAAATCCAAATCCCCCAAATTAATTTCATTCCTGCAAACCAAACATGACCTAAATGTTTTTGTAGTGTAATACTAAATTTTATAATTTTTTATTAAATACAAATTTGTTAATAAAATGTATAATGATCCAGCTATTTATATTTGAAAAGCAACACCATTCCTTTTTTAAATAAATTAATAATAACAAAAACAAACTTTGATGATCATACATTATTAACTTTTTTTTTAATTATTATCAAATAATCATGATAATAATATGATTATTATGCCTCTGGTGTATAGCTCAGTTGGTAAATGGGTTGTCTGGTAAATATGATTTTGTCCGGATACAAAATAGGTCATAGGTTTAAGGACATACCTATTAAGGATTGAACAAGGTCTCGTGCATCTGCTTACTTGATTACCATAAAAAAAACGTAGACGTCTTAAAGGGGCATCCGCTTGATTTTGAAGGTGACCTAAAACCCTCGCTCAACTTTAGTTTTGGAATCTGACGCACGGAGGGAACGAGGGGTCAATGGCGTAAAAAGAAACATGAAATTTATGTATATATCATTAAAATCGAGATATATATCGTTGTATTGCAGGAGTCATGTTTAACTTGTAATAAAGGAAATTTATAAAAGTACATTTTAACCTTTTAAAATTACCCATAATAAAACTAGACAAATTACAATCTTGCTCCTCCAACTTCAATCACATTTATAAGTTTGACAATAAACTATTTTATTTATTCAATAATGATCAAACCAATTATTTTATTAACCTGAATATCCAACCCGTTATACGAGCTGATTAATCATAGGGCGACTACCCGCTTCGTGCGTAGCTTAGAGTCACCGTATTTGAACCTCCATGGCCATAAAGGAGATTTTTTGTTTCTCATTGGATTCGAATCTGGAAGGAGGAATAAAAATCCCTTTGTGACCACAGATATTCAAATGCGGTGGTCGCGGGTGATCACTCTGAGATTAGTCGATTCGTATATAATTTATTGCCTTCTAAAATGTAATTATTATGATCATAAACAATAATACAGTTAAAATGAAAGTTAGAATTGTTTATTATAGGGATATTTTTGCATAATTCTTCTAAATCATGAGACAGTTAATAACTAATACATCTTATGTTATTTCATGTGTTTTTTCCATCATAACTATAATTTAATGTGACGATTAACATACATTTATTTACAATGTGTTTGTCTTATATGCATCTAGGTCCCCTTTTTAGATGTTTGTGAAACAAAGATACACGTTAAGGTTTCACACTGTGAACCAAAATATATACATATTAATCAATACATTAAATACTATATTTAGATGGAAAAAACAATGTAAAACAAAATCTTAAGGTAATTTTCTTGTACGAATCTTAAATTTTTCAAAGTTTCAAACGATTAATCCTTAATTATTCCAACTTAAAATCAAAATAATAATTTTAGATACAAATTTAAAATGAAAAAGTAACGTACTTTAACTTGATTCTTAGTTTGGGTAATGTATTTTCATAATTTATATTTTGGCACCTAAAATGTAAAGTTTTAAACATTTAAGCATCCGAGTAACTGGTTGAAGCATTAACAGGTTATTATGCTAATGTCCCGAGTGATATGGTATCCAACTTAGTATCATTTGCTGATGTGGTTAGTAATATAAATTATTTTAATTTAAAATTAGTCTTTTTTTAATCTAAAATTAGTTTTCAACCGGTTATCTGGGTACTTAAATGTTTAAAAATTTACATCTTAGGTACCAAAATGGAAGTTTTGAAAGTCCATTACCCAAAACATGAATCAAGTTAAAGTACGTTAGTTTTTCATGCAATTTGTTCGGAAAAAGTTGTAATATGTACTAAAACTGTAAGACAATAAATTTATAAACTAAAAACGTAAGTTTACTATAAGTCAAGGGACCAAATTTGTAACTTTCTGAATCGTGCAAAAGCGACTGCTAAAAGAAACAGCTACAGCAGCAGAAAAATTAGACATCCAAAGAGGCGGGAAAACAAAAAGCAACAGAGAGAATGAAGGAGAGAGGCGGCAAAGTCGCCGGGGGAGGTCGGCCGACGGTCGACGAGCGTTACTCACAGTGGAAGTATCTCGTTCCAATTCTCTACGACTGGCTCGCCAACCACAATCTCGTCTGGCCGTCTCTTTCTTGCCGGTTCGTATTCTCACTCTCTAGGGTTTCATTTTCTCGTTGTTTTTTATGGTTTTACATTTGAGCTAGTATTTGGTGTGTGATTTCATCGTTAGTAGCTACATTCTTCAAAACAAAGTCGATAAAGCGTATCGTATATGCTGGATTAGCGGAGCAACCAGTGAAATTATTCATACTGCTTTATAGTCCTTGTTGCTTAATTTCTAGAATGGAGTTATCGAATTAACCAGGGATCATCTAGCTAGTGGAGGTTTTATTTAACTCACTTGATCATGGGAGTTGGACCATCATTAGGGGTCATCGTCTCATTGCCATCCTGTTGACAGACGTATGTTTGGTGGGCTAATTCAATATTCATGCTGTCATCGTATGAGATGCTTGACGGCATGATGATGCTTAAAGGACCAACATGCAAAACACATTTTGACTATCTGTTTTTGATTTAATTCTATATGAGATTGCTTGTGCTGTTGTGCATAACAAGCAAACATGTTCTGTATTCATGCCATGCCATGCCATTTCACCATTTATTTTTGGATTTCCTGAGTTGGTGTACCCCTGAATGGCCTACCCTGATTCTAGCTTTCCAGTAACTAGGAGTTTCTTAGATTATAACTAATCCTTATCTTTGAGGTAGGATAGTGTGCCGGAATTGTATGCTTTTACTTTTTACATATTTCTCTACTAGACAATCGTTGCGAATTTTCGGGTCGTTATACTCAGATTTACTCTTGTAGGGCTAGACAAGTTTTTTTAGACTAGGCTCATGGTTGGGTCCGCTTACATTGGTTATTGTTTTGTAAATTTGGCTTCTTAATAGATGGGGACCACAGTTGGAGCAAGCTACTTACAAGAGTCGCCAACGACTCTACCTCTCCGAACAGGTAACATGATGTTCTTACCTCAACGTATGTTTGAAAGATTTTATGTAAATTGCAAATGATGGTTTACGCGAAGAACTATAAAGGAAAAAAAAAATACAATTCTAAAAACTTAGTCATATGAGCATCTACAACCATATTGTTGTGTGGATGACGAACAATTTGGGATCATCATAAATGCATTGCTTATCATTTCTATGTTTCCACAGACCATATGTGATTTCTGTGAACCGAAAACTGCAATCCACAATCATTAGCTCAACTGGAAAACTCACACCCCTTGCTTTCTCCATGTGAGAGTTGGTATCAAGCCTTGTAAGTGGCCAGTTGATGCTCTCTTGGTTTTTCTTCCATGGCTCCTTCCCCCCTTAGACTAAGATCCATATGTGATACATGTAGTTGCCACCCCATTGACTCCATTAACTAAAAAAGGAAAAGAAGAAAAAAGAACCAGAAGAGTCGAGGTCCTCTGATATTTCAAACTGTTGCCAACTCACATTCTAATATCATTTGTTCCCAGAAAATCCGACTTTTAATATTTTAGGATACACCACCAGTGCTCAGTTTTTGAATATCAGAAAATCGATTAATGAAGCTTCTTATGTTTTCATTAATGTTAAATGCTAATTTTCAGCAATTGCTGAAATCCACAGGTGACTGAATTCATTAATCCTCTACCTTATCTAAATTGAATGAAGTTCCTTCTATCTTATCTCATCTGAATTTCATGTTGAAATGTCAATATCAAAGTTTGTCTGTTTTCTTGCCATTTTGGGATCCAAAATGTGAATTGTAACATATTTGTTTTACTGCCCTTTCATTCTTTCTAATCATCTCTGTTCAGACTGATGGTAGTGTTCCAAACACCCTTGTGATAGCAAATTGTGAAATTGTCAAACCCAGGGTAGCAGCAGCAGAACACATATCACAGGTGAGTCCAATAGTTATCTGAAAATTGTTGGTTCTGGTTCACGTGATTATCATAAAATACCTCTTTTTTCTTTCTGAATTCAATGTATGATCTTATTTGTAACTATTGATGTTTGTGTAGTTCAATGAAGAAGCACGATCACCCTACGTAAAGAAGTTTAAAACAATCATACATCCTGGAGAGGTATTTCTCAATGCCATCAAACCCTTATCTTGTCCTATTTTTCTGTTTCTGATTACAATGTCGTTCATAATCATGGTTGGTTAATATTCTATCCATGTAATGGAATTCTTTCAAAAATTATTATCGCATGTGTGCAGTATTTCTCGAAGATGTATTTTTATGTTTCTTTGGCTTTGCTGATATCTGTGCAGGTAAATCGCATCAGGGAGCTTCCTCAAAACAGCAATATAATAGCTACACATACGGACAGTCCTGATGTATGCACTCAATTTACGCACTTCTTTTTTGTGGATTTGGCCGGTTTTGATAGATATAGTGTTTCATTATGTTTCTGTTCTTACATTATTAATTCTTTATCCCATTGCCTTCCTCTATAAATCAGGTCCTTATCTGGGATGTTGAAGCTCAGCCTAATCGCCATGTTGTTTTGGGAGCCCCAGAGTCTCGTCCAGATTTGGTGGGTCCTTTGTTGGGAGCCATGGTTCTGAGTTTTTTTTATATCCCTATCTACACATTTTCTTTCTTTTTTCTTTAGACCATCCACATCCCTGCAATCCATTTACACTTTCAATTGTGCCACATCAGTTTTTGCAATTATCTTCCACACACCTTCAATTCACCTACAACACTTTCAACTGTGCCACGTCACCTACACTTTCAAAAGTGGTCCCTACTACAACATTTATTAACTATTTTATAAATTATTTATATATACATTCTAATATTACATATTTTAATTAATAACATGTTTTATTTTAATTCAATGTTAATTAAAANTACATATTTTAATTAATAACATGTTTTATTTTAATTAAATGTTAATTAAAACGACTAATATATGATATAATTATATAATTTATTGTTTTAAATTTGAAACATTAATTTATTAAATCATATCAAAACACAACATTTATTGAATTAAAAATATTACATATAAAATAATTTAATTTATTATATAATTAATGTAATTAAAAATACATTAACATTATTAATTTATAAAATTAATTGTTCTACATATTATATTTCAATGTTATTCAATGTTAATGGATGTCCACGTGGCTTGCAAACACAATTGCAAAAATAGCAAGTGAAATCCTATGTGGCATCAAATTGCTTTTTTGCAATTGCTTTGAAAGATGTGTGTGGATGGTCTTAGGGTCTTCCCCCATGTCATCCTCTTTATTGCTCCTTTATGAGTCTAAGGATGTGGAAATGTGGATATACATGGTTATGTCGGTTTATGTAATTACATTTGATGTTTGTGTCAGTTTCCAAGAAGAGACTTGATACCCTTTTGTGTTGTCCATCTTGCAGATCTTGAGGGGTCACCAAGAAAATGCAGAATTTGCTCTTGCCATGTGCCGGAGCGAACCCCTTGTACTTTCTGGAGGTGATACATTTGAATGAACCTTGATCTACTTTGTGAAATATGGCCATTTTAACAGTTCTTGATGCTGATATACAAAAAATGATCGATTTCTAATGATTCAACACTAGGTTAAAGGCGACCTTTCATTTGATTAAATTTAAAAACATAGAAAAGGAAACTTATGTATGTTCTCCTGTATATAGTGTGTTTATACTTTATACATGCTTATTATGCTTTCGCCTAAAATTGATGACATAATGGTTCTGCTTTGCATCTTTGCTTTCTGATTCATATCTTTACTAGGAAAGTAATAACGATGGTTGAGGGGCATGTACATACTCGTTGCAAACCGAAATGATTTGATCGTAGCGACACATTGTAGTTTGTATCTAACGTTATTTTTTCTTCCTCTGGGTCATATTGATTTATTCATTTATTCAGCTTTTAATATAGGGACATGTCATTAGGTCTAGGGGTCATGGGTTGGGTTGATTGGGTTGAAGGCATTTGAACAACCTAACCCAATGTTTGCGGTTTGAAAAATTTCAACCCAAACCAAAGTGCAACTCAATCCAAACCAAACCGTACGGGTAGTCGGGTTAATACTCTGATACATCAAAATATTCTCCTATGTTGTTTACCTTGAATATGTTGTTTTTCTCTACTCATAATTCTTTTTTCATCATCAATCATTTGATACAACTTATCCATACTCCTTTAGGTATATAACATTCAACTGCTTTTCTCAGTTTGCATATATATGTCCACATTTACTGAACATATATAAGGATTAAGGAGTTATATAGAAGTGGAGAAGAGATTGAAAATATATGTATATGAAAAGGGTACGTGATGGTTTATTCGTCTAATGCACACACTAATAGGGTCTTCACAATCATATTAAGTCCAAGAAATAAAAGGATATCGGGTTGGGCTGGGTTCAAATGACCGTAACCCAATTCCAACCCAATACCTATAGTTTGAAGATTTTACAATTCAATTAGACCACGGGTTGCTTCTGGTTGGGTTGGGTTGGTTGGGTTTTTGAGCACCCCTAATTAGGCCTTTAACTGTAATTTTGTGTAGTTATTTCATTTTAAGCAAATTAGCATTCAGTTTACAAAAGGATACTACAAGCTTTAGGGAACTAACTTATTTCTTTTCCATTGTAAATGCACTATAAGCTATTAGAACTTATTTGGCTTGATACACATTTACTATATACAAAGCTAAGGAATTATGCGTATGATCTGGTTGCATGAATGTTGCTGTTTTTGCCATTGTATTTTTCTAAGTTATTGTTTCTCTTATACAATATTTGGTTTATATATGTAATCAAGTTTTGTGTTGTTTGTTTGTTGTGGTGGCAGGCAAGGACAAATCGGTTGTTTTGTGGAGTATTCATGATCATATCTCTACATTGGCAACAGAACCAGGGCTAACGAAGTCTCCAGGAGCTAGTGGTGGTAAGAACCTGAAGACTGGTGGGGATGACGATAAACGTACTGAGAGCCCTGTTATTCAAGCAAGAGGGGTCTTCCAAGGGCATGACGATACCGTTGAAGATGTACATTTCAGTCCCTCTAGGTRTCTGACACCTGTCYTATGCTGTGAAACATAACCCKTCTTTTCAATTGGTATSATAGATCTAATTAGCTAATTGGAACCTTTTTGAATTCTGTTTTGGTGAAGCGCACAAGAATTCTGTAGTGTTGGTGATGATTCCTGTCTTATCCTATGGGATGCAAGAATTGGCTCTTCTCCTGCTGTCAAGGTAACTTAGACATCTGCTTTACCTTATTCGACAAAATGCTGCTTATTTTAGGAGTTGAACGGTTGGTTTTCATTAAAAAAAATCTATTTGGTTTGTTTTTGCCATCACAGTTAGGCTTTAAAGCAATGAGGGCTTTACGCTTTAGTATTGGCTGATAACCAGTGAATCAAGTCTTCATCTCATCCTTAATTGTTGAGACTTCTCCCACAAATAGCATTTGCCTATGCGCCATTTTCAGTTGTCCGCCCTCTATGTTTTGCAAATATTTTTGCTTTGTATAAATGTAGAAATCTAATTTCAATTCTTTGTGGTTCTTTTGCAGGTTGAGAAAGCACACAATGCTGATCTTCACTGTGTTGATTGGAATTCACTTGATGAAAACCTCATATTGACAGGGTAATAAGCAGACATGCTTTCTTCTCCCATATTATGTGCTCATTAGGAACTATTACACATTGATGAAAAATTCTTAAATAAAACTATCTTTTTTATTTTATAATTGAGCTTCAAGATTTTAGATTTTGGCACTTTTGGCATCCATTTCACTATTCTTTTTGTGTTTGGTATGCTGGACAAGATGGAACAGGACATAACAAAAACTTATTTGTCCATGTTTGGCATGACATTAGACTGGGAGTCTGGGACAGTACATGACACGTGTGGGATCAAAATGCACTTTTTCTGCCCCATGCCACCAAAATAGTTGGAACAAAAATCAGTGAGATGGGACAAAATTGGTAAATTACTATACCATCCATGTCAAAGTTTAATTTTTGACCTTCCAGAATAATTTCACCCACCTACCTCACTCTTGCCTGTCCACTCCTGTCTAATCCCGTCTGCTTACCAAATGCAGTAACACACCTTTAAACCATGACGGTAGATTACACGTAAATAATAAAGCAAAGAGTGTATAATAGTGTACATGGAAAATAAAGCAGTTGCTGAGCTTCAGTAAATCATTTTCTTTTTAGGTCAGCTGATAACACTGTTCGCTTGTTTGATCGTCGGAATCTCACTGCCAATGGGGTTGGATCACCTATCCACATATTTGAGAATCACAGTGCTGCTGTCCTTTGTGTACAGGTATAGATTTTTTGTGGCTGTTGACGTTTTATTATTTCTAGATTATTCTAAAATATTTGTAAAATTATATATATTTCAGTGGTCCCCGGACAAATCGTCTGTCTTTGGCAGTTCGGCAGAGGATGGAGTCTTGAACATCTGGGATCATAACAAGGTGTGAATCTTATCTTTCATTGTGCACTTCTTTTGTATACTCCCTCCATCACAATGAAAATGGATATTTTTTAGTTAACTAAATAATAATTACACCCTTAATAAGCATGGGAGTAATGAATTTCTCTATCTCATCGTTAAGGGTGAGTTTGGTACACTGGGTGGACAGGATATAACAAGGATCATTGTTCCATGTTTGGCAAGACTTTTATGTAGAACAGAGTGGAACAAATTGGAACAGGCGTGTCCCATCCCCACCCCATGGAACAAGGTGGAACAGACCTATATTTTATCAATATAACATCAAAATAATATTTAATTCTCTTCTAAAACATCAAATACGCCTCACACTTTTCATTTTATTCATTGTTTAAATTTTATTTATTGTATTTTACACTCTTTAAACTTTTACTTTACCGTCCTCAATATTATTTTTACATGGTTTCTATATTTTGGTTGATTTATGTAATTTATTAAATAATAATAATAATAAATTACATAAACTAATCAAATTATATTTTTATTGGAAACGACGTACACTTTTATTTTGATATCATCTTCGTCTTGATGAAACTTTCTAATGATATATTTTGTTATAAATATATATATATATATATATATATATATCTTATAATTTAATAAATTGCATAAATTAATCAAAATATATAAAATATATAAACAACTCATTAGAGGTAAATTGGTCATTTTATCTGTTCTGTCCCGTCCAATTTTGTCTTGCCAAACATTGAACAACTTTTCCGTGACTTCCGTCCTGTTCCGTCCGACCTGTTTGGATACCAAACGCACCCTGAGGTAGAATTGGAAAGTAGGTAGCTACTTTTGAAAGTGAACACTTATTTTGGGACGGAAGGAGTATTACAACTGTTTGCTCCTTCTGCTTGTCTTTCTAAACATGTTTGTGGTTGAGCAGATTGGTGAATGTTCTGGTACAGCCTCAAAAATTGCACAAGGCTTATTGTTCCGCCATTCTGGGCACAGGTAAAAAGCTCATCATCTTCATCAGTGAATCCTTTGTTCATTGTGTAATGCAGCACATGTGAATATATCCAGTTTCTCTCTCTTTTTCTGGCAATTCTAAGATAAATGCAACATTTTTTTCTTGGTTAAAATATCAATCACAAGTTACATCTTTGTCCATTAGTAATATTTACATAATATCTCCCTCGGGTGTGTAGCCAGTTGGCAAAGGGGCGGGGGACTTTGCCCAATTTAATGCAAGATAAAAGTTCAAATCCCACAGGATGTGGGCTTGAATCCCTCCGTTTGCCTTGGCCACTGAGTTGGCTCACGAAATGTCTCCTTACATGTGGCGCGTAGGGGGCGGGTTCCATGTGGGGCTGGTTGAGGATGCTTATAATCAACCTTTTTGCGCAAATTTTTACATAATGTTGATGGTATTGATTTTGGAATGTAAGATTTCATTTTCATCATTGAGGGTTGGTTTATACGAACTGAATGGTATTCGTGTATGATTGTAGGGACAAGGTGGTTGATTTTCACTGGAATGCACATGATCCATGGACAATTGTTAGCGTATCTAACGATGATGAAAGTACTGGTGGGGGCGGGACCTTACAGGTGAGCTTTCCCACTTTACATGGTTACTTTGAGGCCCCCTGAAGATGCACCAGGCCCAGACTTCTAAGCCTGTTTTTAGCAAGCAAAAACAAGCTCGGGATTTTTTAGTCCCCATCGGGCTTCTTCAGGCCTGGCTTATTTGGGATTTTGATTTTTTTTTGGCTTGATTGGGCATTTCGGTCTGGGCTGTGGGCTTGTTAGGGCCCAGGCTCCAGGCTTTTTGTGCTATCTCTACTCCCGATTAAGATTACCATTTGTACTTCTGGACCTAAACTGGTATGAATTTGTGCAGATATGGCGGATGATCGATTTAATTTATCGTCCACAGCAGGAGGTAATTACGGAGCTCGATAAATTCAGATCTCACATCCTCACTTGCTCATCGCCGTAGGATTTCATAGAATAGAACTTTTAGGATTTTTTCGGATTATAACGAGCTCGTGGATTGTTGTACCGTTTAGAATTCATGGGGGGATTTGCAGGAAGCTAATCTGCATTACATCGTTGTGGAAACTTCATCCCCTTTTCCGGTTGGTCAATTCAACGATGACTGGATTGGCAAATTGTTATTTATCATATCGGACGTTTTTTGGAACTCTAGCACCCCAAATTGTAAACCGTGTGGTCAAGTCGCTTTTGCGATCCGATCCGATCCAATTAACATTGGATGATTGATCCAATTGATGATTGGATCGGTTAGGTTAGGTTCAATCGATTGGATATTTTTATTGGATAGTTATTAGATATGCAATAGATGATCCGATGATTTTGGATCCATCCAGTTTGTTATTTCAAATCCAATTTTTTAACAACGATACAAATTAATTAATCACTTTTGATATGTGTTAAAGCCAACACAAGAGAAGTTAAAAATTCAAAATCTCACACAAAACATTTTACGATTTAAGCAATTTGAAAACAAATTAATTGGATGATGGTTGGAAGGATAACCGGTCATCGGTGGATTAATTGGATGTTGGTCGGTTTGATTGTCATAAGTTCGAGTCTAGCATCGGCTAAACTTGGATAATATCTTTTAATATATGTTAGAACCTTTTTTTCTAAATGAATATTTTGGAGAGTAATCTATGAGTTCTACATGTTCTCACATGGTTTAGGTTGGAGAGTAATTTATGGGTTTTACATATTCTCACATGGTTTTAAGGTTTTTTTCTGGATTATTTTTGACAAGTAAATAGTCATGGACAATCTGTGTCTGTCTCACTGTTTGGTCTCTGTTGTAGGGGATGTTGGAGTCCAGCCAGATAATTTCTTTTTAACATATGTTGGAACTTTATTTGTAAAGCAATCTATGAGTTTTACATATTTTCACATGATTTAGGTTTCCAGATTGTTTTCAAGGTCTGTTTGGCAGTTGCTGAATGGTCTGGTGCATAATGATTAAGTGGTTAAAATGATTAAGAGACTCTTTATGATAAATATAATTGTTTGGGTAATTGTTTACAGTGAAATTAGGGCGCTGAATGGTTAAGGGAAACCCAAGATACAAAATCATTGAGAGAGTTTTAGAACTATTATGAGACAGACTTTTCTTTTTGCCAAACAAGATTCAACTTTTAACGATTTAGAGGCTGACTCTTAATAGAACTATTAAGGGTTAAACACATTAAGGGGTTGTTTCTTTACCTCTTAATAGTTCCATTAAGAGACAACTTTCTGAATCATTAAGAGGTAAATCTTGTTTTAAAAAAAATCTGGCTCTTAATGTTTCTAAACCCTCTGAATGATTTTGTATCATTGACATCCCTTAACCATTGAGCACCCTAAATTCATTGTAAACAATTCCAAACAATTATATTTCATTTTATACTATATCATGAAAGTCTTTTAATCATTCTACATCAAAACATTCAGCAACTACCAAACAAACTCTTATTTTATTTTTGTTAGAATTTTTAATGAGTTGATGGATGAAAGTCTTGCAAACAAAGACATCTATTAAAGAAAGTATGGTATTTATAGGAGGTTTAGTGATGGTGATAGGTGGTGGTTGGTAGATGGTGATTAGCTACTGAGTGATGGTGATGTTTAAAAGGAAGTAGTGTCACAATTGCATATAGACTCTTAGGTTTAATGAGTATACTAATCAATATAATAAGAAAATGGTCGAATTATACATAAATTTATATTAAAAGCGTAAGTAAAATCACATGTGATTTACAAGACTTTGGTTGTGACCTGAGGCCACGGTCCATGCAGTGCTGTTTATGGGGAGGATGACCCGCTAGACCCAGCCCATCCGGTCCGGTAAAAATACGGGCTTGGGCAACCATTATCGAGAAAATGGACGAACCCATATTTGTTCATTAAAATTAACGGACAGATATGAGAAATGTAAAAATAAAGATGGACAGGCCCGTCCAACCCGTTTATATTTTATAATTAATATTTTTTTACTATTCATTAAAATTATACTAGTATATTTTAAAATTATAGGATGAGACTGTTTGATTATTCTTGAGAACCCAAAAAGCTAATGGGTTGTTTGTTTGGAAGAGTTTTTTTCATAGATGAAATGAACATGTTTTTTAATTGAGAGGATATAAGTTTCAAAGAAACTTGGTTTTATACATAAAACTCTATTTCTAGAAGTTTATTGATTAAGTCATTTTATATATCATTAAACCACTACCAAATAATCATGTATATATTGTCGAATAAGTTGTGAGTCTCGTTAAATTATCAAGTGGTTAACAAACATGCACTTAATCTATCACATTAAATTATAAAAGATTTTATTTGATCGAAATAAAATACCTTTCTATTAATTAAATTTATATTTAAATAATTATTTGGTTTTTATTATAATATTAATAATAAACTAATATTTTAGTTTTAATTAAAAAGATAATGTTTTTATAAATTATATTATTTATTTAATTAAAATAATTGAAGAGGAGTGGAAAAGTAGAAATGGGCGTGGAATTAAAATCCAAAGATCGTTCTGTAATTTACTACCCACAAAACAAGCACCGTCTCTCTCTCTCTCTCTCTGTCTAGTTCACTCCATCGAGATCTCTGTTCTCTCTGGTCCCTCGAAGATGGATCGGGGCTCCAATGGATTCGTGTTCACCATTGGTATCTTCATGCTTCTTATCTCATCTTCTGAATCATTTTACTTGCCTGGTGTTGCTCCTCGTGATTTTCAAAGGGTACGTGATCTTGAATTTACTGTGGTTTTCTAACTCAAATTGGCGATTATGTATGTGTTTTTAGTATCGAACCATTTAGATCTTGCACAACTGAATTTACTTCGTTATGCTGTTTATTGCTTATGATCCATGTGAATCGAGTTTGGATCTAGGGTTTTGGGTTTCCGATTGGGAATGGAGTTAGGTCATTTTTTGGTACTTTTGATGTTATTAATTTCTATTTAGAGGTACGTACCCTTTGCTGCTATTTGTGTTAAATTCAGTCATCTCTGTGGGTTAATCTAATAAGTATACTCTTGTTCGCTTAATGCTCAAATTCAAGAAAGATTTAGTGAGGAGTGTAGGCAATTCTAGATGCTTGTTTGGTGAGGAATGTATATGATTTTGGAAAGAAGTCGTTGATCAATTGAGTGGAAAGAGCTGGGTTGTTCTGTACCCTATTTTTCATCGCCTACATAGTTTCCTGATCCAATTGGAAGTGGGTGGTGCTAGGCTTTGTGTATGCTCGCTTGCATAATTTTGTTTCAACTGTATAAACAAGTTTTCTTCTGTGATTCAGGGCAAATTTCCTTTAAAGATCATGATTTTTTTTTCTTTTTTGAAGTATATATAATACTTAAATATCGCAAATGGAACTGACACACACTCCTCACCTTTGGTGAGGTTTGAACCTTGACCTCTTGGAAGGTTGGGCTACAACATACCGCTAGGCCCTTTGATCGATCACGATATTTTAGCATTAGCTGTTATTCCCTCTGATGAAAATGGGATTTATTACAAGTTTTTGATAGTTGATAAATTTTAGGGTAGACTAAAGATGGTTAAAAATACCCAAAATTTATCATACTTCTGCTTTGAAGATAGGTCATGTTTTCGTTGCACCTTAAATCCTGTTCATTTAACCTTCGGTTTGAAGTCTACTGATTATATTTGTGTCATACACACACACGCTACTAGCATGTGTGTGTGTATATACCACTAAGCTTCTTAATATATTTTAATCGTTTATATAATTTCCATGTGTTGCATTTACCAGGGTGATCCACTTCAAGTTAAAGTCAACAAATTGTCGTCTACCAAGACTCAACTTCCTTATGACTACTATTACTTGAACTATTGTAAGCCCAAGGAAATTCAAAATACTGCAGAAAATTTGGGCGAGGTGCTACGAGGTGATCGCATAGAGAATTCAGTTTACACGGTGAGGATCTACATTTTTTCTCATTCTATATGGTTCCTGGTAAAGGAAAGGTGGTTGTTCTATTATGCTTTGGCTTAAAACCAAACCAAACCAAACGAGCCCAATATATCCCACAGTGCTGACGTCTACTTTGGAGAGTATAGCGGTTGTTTCGTGAATTTTTCTTATTATTGTGTCATGATAGAAGTTCTTAATCTTCATTTCAGTTTCAAATGAGAGAGGAGCTACCATGCAAAGTTGGTTGTCGAATAAAGCTTGATGCTGAATCTGCAAAAAAATTCAGGGAAAAAATTGACGATGAGTACCGGGTTAATATGTATGGTTAATTTGTCTTAACTTTGTCATCAGTTTACAATATATCGTCAATCAAACCTTGAGGGCCAGCTCAACCAGCAAACAGAGGCTAGGCCTTGGGGCTCTTCCCCATAGGTTGCCTGTTCAAGTCTCCTTAGGGCCACTGGGATTTTCATGGCTGTTATATTCAGGGCCAATGGACACCCACGATTTTACCTATATATATGTATATATGCAGGGTTGGATTCCGGTGAGAAGGGAAGTTATGGTGAGAAGCGTAAGAAGAGAGCTCCACCCTTGGATCAATCCTAATTGAATGTCAAATGAGGTGCACCAAGATGCACCGGATTAATTCTTTCTAAAGTGCAATTCATGGGTGGGCATGAGATTAAAAGTGATCAAGGGTTCAAATCTCTTCTTGCACTTCTCATCATAACTTCCCTTCTCACACGATCCTTCGCCTATATATGCATATATATACTTGTGGATCATGCTGAAACAACGGGATGATGGGAATAACAAAGCAGAGATTTTTAAATGAGGACGTCCATATATGAGTTGTTCCATTAATCATTATTTTTTATTTTCGGGTCTTTTCGTTGCATGTGTATGTGTATATATACGTGTGTGTGTGTGCCATTTATCAATTCCATTCCTGATGTACCCTAGGAGACTCAATCCATGACTATCCCCACCTCATGGTTGTGGCTTGTGGGGCTGATAAGTGGTTTATAAGGCTATCCTTCCCTCTCTGAGTCCCTCCCACTAGATTATTTGAATGCTACATTAGGTGTAGTAAAATAGGACATTCATATTTGATTACTTATTCTTAAACATCTATAATCGACTTCTACATGTGTGGAATGCCTTGGATTGATATTTTTGGATCTCTATTAATTTGTGCAGGATTTTAGATAACCTACCAGTTGCTGTTCTTAGACAAAGACGGGATGGCAGTCCGTCAACCACTTATGAACATGGTTTCCGTGTTGGTTTCAAAGGAAATTATGCTGGGGTGAGTTTAATTGTGGAGAAATTCACTTGACTTCTATGATCCAGAACTCCAGAAATTTATTCTATTGTTTACATTTTTCAGAGCAAAGATGAAAAATATTTCATCAATAATCACCTGAGCTTTAGAGTCATGTATCACAAGGATCTTGAGACCGATTCTGCTCGAATTGTTGGGTTTGAAGTTACTCCAAACAGGTATGTTTCTCATTCCTGCTTTACTCAAGTGAACAAGAAAAAAAAATAGTGTTTTTTTTGGATAAAGGGAAATAAAATAGTGTTGCCAAGAATTGGTAAAATCTTAGTAGAGTTGAACAAACATGCAACATTATGTTTTCGATGGCTCACAGGATCGAATGAGGTTGCATTACCTTGCCTAGGTGTTTTGATTGTGATATACTCCCTCCATCCCAAAATAAATGACCACAATGAAAAAAGGTCATAGATTTAGAAATGTGTAACTATTAAACTATTTGATTAACTAAATGACACTTTTATCCTTAATAATAGAGGGATTAATAAATTTCTCCATCTCATAATTAAGAGTAGAATTGGAAAGTATGCACTTATTTTTGAAAGCGGACACGTGTTTTGGGACAAACTAAATTAGAAATATAGACGATTATTTTGGAACGGAAGGAGTACAAATTATGTCTTTTCAGCATGAAACAATTGGTATTTCGCCAAATTGATCGTCTCTAGATGGTCTAAACTTTGCTGCCGACTTGTGCTAACAGTATCAATCATGAGTACAAGGAGTGGGACGATAAGAATCCTCAATTAACCACCTGTAACCAGAATACCAAAAACATAATTCAAGGAAGCACTGTACCACAGGAAGTTGATACAGGCAAGGAGGTTGTATTCACATATGATGTTACATTCAAGGTACGATTGTAAACCCTAGCACTTGTCCTGTTTTTCTTTTGTAACTGTGGATGTCCGGGCCAGCTTGGCCGTAGCTCAACTAATCCCATGGACTATGGTACCCTAAAGTTAACAGCTGAACAAACCCTTTAGTGAGAGGACTTCAACCGGTGACCTCTAGAACGCACACCTAAGGTCTTAACTGTTGAGCTACTGCTCAGGGTGCATTTGGTGACATGACAATACTAGGGATGGAAACAGGGCCGGTATTGTGCGGGTAATGCATCCCCTGACCCCGACTAATCCTCGACGGGTTCAGGGGGAAGAAATCCCCGACTCGTTTGGGGTATCCAACGTTTAGTAAAATGAACAATAAAAAGAACATTGTATTTTAAAATAAAAAGTACAATGAATCATAACTAAATTACTTAGGGAAAAGTTTTTAAAAACCCAACAAACTATTCCATTTTGAATGACCTTGAACTACTTTTTTGAATGAAAAAACCATTAAATTTTCTCATTTTGAATGATTAAGTCACTGAACTATTTTTTTGAATGAAAACCCATCAAACTTTCTCATTTTTGATCAAGTCCCTAAATTTTTTTTTTGAATAAATAAACCATCGAACTTCTAAAACATGGTTACCTACATCTTTTAATTAAAAAAAACTACATGTAACTGACTAGGAATGTAAAGTTAAACCTAAATCAGTTTTACTGTGGCCAAACCCTACTCCATTAAAACCCCTTTCAAACAACAGTATTGCTCCCTCTCGCCACTCCCCTTGCCCCAATGGTGCTCATTCTTCAAATCGCCTAACACGCTTTTGGCCCCTGCCATTGATCTCCCTTGTTTTGATCTATTTTGTATCTGTCAGAAGAGGGAGAATCAAAAGATAACCAGTTACAAGTAGCTTTTTTGGGGTTAAAAGGATGTACATAACCAATTTCTTAAAGTAGGATGGTTTAATTTATTGAAAAAATTGTTCAGGGACTTAATCATCCAAAATGATAAAATTTAATGGTTTTTTCATTCAAAATGAGAAAGTTTAATGGTTTTTTCATTCAAAAAAAATAGTTCCGGTACTTGATCGTTCAAAACGGTATAGTTTGTTGGGTTTTTTTGAACTTTTTCCTACTTATTAATATTGAAGGGTCAGGTTTAGGGGAAAATCACAAAAAATGGAAAACTAAGGAACACCCTAGTGACAATACATTTGGATGGTATGCACATGTGCATACAAGTAATTTGTAAGCAATTTACTCGCTATACATATGTGCATAATATGCATATGTGCATAAAAACCAAGAAACAACTTCAATTACTTGAATGCAAGTGTGCATGCCGTCCAGATGAATAGTTACGAGGGTGTTCATCAGTTTTCCCTTTTGGGGGTTTCCCCTGAACCTCCCTCTAATTTTTAAATGGCAAATATATTTATTATATATTTATAAAGATATATACACATATGCATATATTTAACAAAATAAAACTTTCATCGGGTCAGATTAGGGAGGGGTAGTGTCATCCCTGACCCCTACCCGCTACAGGTATGAAAGTAAACCCCGTCCTCGCCCCATTACACGCCAAAGTGGGGAATCCGAATCCCCGCCCGTTAAATTTCCATCTCTAAACAGGATCCATGTTTGGCGTGACATTAGATTGGGACAGGTTATATACCGAGTGGGACAAAAATGCATTTTTTTTTCCAATCCCACCAAACTAGATGGAACAAGAGCAAAAATCAGGCAGATGGGAAAATATTGGTAATTACTAAACTATCCACCGATCCTGTCGGCATACCAAACGCACTTTGTTCTTCTATTATGAAGTCGGCAATACCTTTGTCTCGGTTTCTTATCTATTTCACCTTTTTAGGAGAGTGACATCAAATGGGCATCGCGTTGGGACACCTACCTTCTTATGAACGATGATCAGATCCATTGGTTTTCGATCATAAACTCCTTGATGATTGTCCTCTTTCTTTCCGGGATGGTAGCTATGATCATGATGAGAACGCTCTATAGAGACATCACAAATTATAATCAATTGGACACACAAGATGAAGCTCAAGAAGAAACCGGATGGAAACTCGTTCATGGAGATGTTTTTCGAGCTCCCGTGAATTCCGGGTTACTGTGTGTTTACGTTGGAACAGGCGTCCAGATCTTCGGGATGACACTCGCCACCATGATATTTGCATTATTGGGCTTCTTATCACCCTCCAACCGTGGCGGACTTATGACGGCCCTCGTTCTTTTATGGGTGTTTATGGGCTTATTTGCAGGCTATTCCTCAGCCCGTCTCTACAAAATGCTAAAGGGTACTGAATGGAAGAAAAACACGTTGAAAACATCTTTCATGTTTCCCGGTATCTTATTTGCAATTTTCTTCGTCCTCAATGCCTTAATTTGGGGAGAAAAGTCTTCCGGGGCTGTACCGTTTGGAACCATGTTCGCTCTCGTTTGCTTATGGTTTGGCATTTCCGTACCTTTGGTTTTCGTGGGAAGTTACTTGGGTTTCAAAAAACCCGCTATGGAAGATCCGGTGAAAACGAACAAGATCCCGAGACAAGTCCCAGAACAAGCTTGGTACATGAAACCTGTCTTCTCGATTCTTATCGGTGGAATTCTTCCATTCGGGGCCGTTTTCATCGAGCTTTTCTTCATCTTGACGTCCATTTGGCTTAACCAATTCTACTACATTTTCGGGTTTCTCTTCATCGTGTTCGTCATCTTGATCATAACATGCGCAGAAATAACCGTGGTGTTGTGTTACTTCCAGTTATGCAGCGAAGACTACAATTGGTGGTGGCGGGCTTACTTGACCGCCGGTTCGTCGGCACTATACCTTTTTCTCTATTCCGTATTCTATTTCTTCACGAAATTGGAAATCTCGAAACTGGTTTCGGGAATCCTCTACTTTGGGTACATGTTGATTGCTTCGTATGCATTCTTCGTGTTAACGGGTACCATCGGGTTTTATGCTTGTCTTTGGTTTGTGCGAAAAATCTATGCGTCGGTTAAGATCGATTAGCGGGCAGTGTAGTGTTACTCTTAGGAGGGAAAACAATCTTAAGGTTGTAAACAGACTTATTGTAGAATAGTGGTTTTGGTTTGTATGATGGGTTGGTTTTTTTTTGTTTCTATTTGGTTTGTTTTACACAAAGCATCAAAATGTTATTTGGATGGAGTGTTTTTTTGGGCAATAGCAATAGATTATGTCCAATCTTTCTTCTATAATATAGAATTAAGAATAAAATACTAATCAATGTTCTACGACTTTTATGTGGAAACGGACATACATAACATAACAGAAGAAACCTATATTTTATTAAGGGGCTGTTTGGCAATTGTTGAATGATTAAGTGATCAAAATGATTAAGATACTTTTATAATATAGTGTAAAATAAAATATAGTTGTGTACAATGAAATTAAGATTTTTAATGGTTAAGGGAGATCCATTATACAAAATCATTAAGAGGGTTTTAGAATCATTAAGAGACATTTTTTTTTTTGCCAATCATTTTCCGTTTAAAAGATCGCCTGATTGGTTTTTATTAGATACTGTATAAATAAAGTTGTATATTAAATGAAACTTCTAATTTTCGGGTTGTTTGGTTGGGTTTTTTTTTTTATGTTTTGTATGGATAAAGTTGTATATGTAGATTAACCTGTCTATATAAATTGATAATTTTTTTGTTTGAGAGAGTTTTTCATAGATAAAAGTGTGTTTTTAAGTATGAGATACATGTTTGGAGAAAATTGGCTTTATACATAAAAAAAAACTTTCCCCGTAGAAGTTTACTAAACAAGAGGTTTTTTAGTTGGGTTTTCATTTAGAGTCTGTTTGTCAGTAACTTAATGCGTTTAATGGGACCCACAATTTATTAAGTCAACTATACATGACTGTTTGATAGTGAATTAATGATATAGTATTGACTTATACAGTAAGTTTTTAAAGGAAACTTTATGCAGAAAGCTAATTAAGAAACACCCTCCTCCCATATATGAAAAATCTTTCTAAACAAAACATTTTCAATCCACATAGACATCTTCATCCATACATGATCTAATAAAAAACCAACCAAACAACCCTAAGTTTTGTATGGACAAAGCTGTATGTATGGGTTTGTCTGTCTAGGTTGAAAATATTTTTATTTTGAAGGGTTTTTCGTAGATAAAATGAATGTATTTTTTTAATTGTGAGGGAAACGTAGAAAAAACCTGACTTTTTACATAAAACTCTCTATAAGCTTACTGCATAAGCCACTTTATATATAATTAAACCATTATCAAACTGTTATTTATTACCGAGTGAATAAACAATGAGTTTCAATAATCTCATTAAGATGCTTACAAAACACGCTCTTAAGCCATTTTTTATACCATTAAATTATTATCAGATAGTTATATAACTAAAGAGTTGTGTGACAGTTGATGAATGGTTTGGTGCAGAATGATTAAGTGATCAGAATGATTAAGAGCCTAAAAGACTCTCATGATATGGTGTAAAATGAAATATAATTGTTTGGTAATTCTTTATAATGAAATTAGGGCACTGAATGGTTAAAGGAGACCCATAATACAAAATTCTTCGGAAAATTTAAAATCATTAAGAGCCAATTTTTTTTTTTTGTCAAACAAGATTCACCGCTTAACAATTAAAATAATGACTCTTAATAAAACTGTTAAAAGATAAACAAACAACTTTAGTTAAATATGAGTTTCGTTAGGTTGATTATTTATTAAGAGATTCACCGAAATAATCATTTTAAATTGTTGTATTTGTTTGGTTCGCACCAATTCGTCCCACGCTTAAACGCACGTCCAAACACCTCAAGAACACTCCAGATGTTTGCGAAACCCTAACTCGGGGGCGGGGTTTCATCGACCACAGATATTCATAATCGACCAGCCAAATTGGCAACAAAACCAGGCGCCGGCGAAGCTACCTTACAATTCCACCACTATTTCACACACAATCTTGTATCCCTAAAGTGAAGTCTCAAGAATTTCTGTTCGGATTGATATAGCCAATCTTCATCATTACCTTTCGTAGCGTCTATAAACAAGAAATGAGTCGTTATGACAGCCGTTCCGGCGACCCTGGTTCTTATCGGGACCGGAGAAGGTAAATCTAGTTTCATTACAGCTTGCAGTACACATGGTTTATGCGTTTTATTTGTTTTTACATAGTTTTAGTGGTTTAGGGTTTGGAATTTGGACCGTGTGCCGTCGTTCCCTTTATATATTGGGGATTTTTATCAATTTCGAGTGTTTTACGTCGGTTGATTTCTGTTGTTTACGGTTTGAATTCCGTATACAGGGTTTCATAACGAGGAAAGTTAACAAATTTCTTTGCGGTTGGCATGGAACGAAAGAAATTTGTCTTTTTCCCAGTGTTGGGTTTTATAATTGTGGTTTTACCAAGTATAGTCTAAGGGTGTCAATTTTATACCACGACAAACCAACCAATTCTAGTAGTTGATTGGTTTGTAGTACCGTAGTAACTATCTAGAGTTGGTTGGTACATGATTAGAAGTCATGAACCATGGTAATACCATAACATACCAACTTATATAGAAGTTCGATTAGTAATACAACATATTTCTATTTAAATTTTAAGTTATCTTGTTTTACATTTTGCTAAATTATAATTCAGATGGATATATAGAATTTGATTAAATTCTCTAGCGCAACCCAAACAACCTTAGTAACTCGTTCACGACTCAACGGTCCATCGACGCCCCTCAATTGCCACTTGTCGTAGAGTATCAGTGAATGCTTATATTATAGGAAAGATTATTTGAATGCTTGTATAGGTAGGGATAAGTGGTACAACACATATCAACATCTATACTACCTTATAAACCAGATTTGTCAAAAATCTTAAAAACAATTTTTAATGCACAAAGTACTATACATTTATGCACAAAGTCTTAAAAACAACTCATAATGCATTAAGTACTACTACTTTATGCATTTAGTCTTAAAATCTCTTAATCTACAATTAAAATAACATATGGTACAAGTTACCAATGCAAATTATTACTTTTTCTTTTCATGTTCCCAAGATACTTTTGACACTTTTCACTCATGCTTTCACCCTCTCATACCTCTGTCTTCTCCCCATCCCCCAAGGTGAGATTCAAACTGATATTCACCATGAGTTATTAAAAGTTCTCCCATTCAATTGCTCTAGAACTCTCGGTCTCGCTCTCGATCTCGTGGTTCTTTGCTCTTGGTGTAAATCGAACATATTTGTGGAGTCGTTTAAATATGTTGGATTTTAAATATATTGGATTTTAAACTGTCATACAATTTTTTTCATCAATAGACTGTAATTGGAACCATAACTCTTATTTATTAAAATTGTTTTAATATGTAAAGACCAAGTGTAATTTATATCATTGTTAAATCTTCTCTAATAAAACAAGTGAAACTTCAAAATCGTTAAAATTTATGGCTCCCGCCGCATTGTGCTAGTACACAACTAGTATTATGTGAATGCTCGATATTTTAAGTGCATCCAGATCTAATTGGTAAATATGTCAATTTAAATAAATTTCAAACTTCAACTTTTAAGATGTTGGTACAATACCATACCGACATGTACCAACAGAAAAAAGTTGGTACCAGATATAGTTGGTTGGTACATGGTATAAAATTTTGTGTACCAATTATAATTGGTTGGTACGTGGTATATGGAAAAAAACATGGCACCGTACCATGTTCACCCCTAATATTTTCTATTTGTGGTTTATTATTGAAGTTCTGAGCATAAAGGTACATAATATGTTAAAGGGTATTGTTTGTTCAGCTTGGATTTTTGATTGTTGATCTGTTGTTTCTACGGCTGTTCAGTTTTAGTAGCTTGGAGTTTCTGTTAATAAAAGCAAAAGGCACCTTACCCATCTTATGTTGTTCAGTGATTCGGGGTTCAGTGGAGGTTCTGGTCTTGGCGGGTACAATTCTTCATCTAGCAAGAAGGACCATGAGAGTTCGGAGCCTCAGCGGAAGGTGGATTTGGATGGTTTAACTCCTTTTGAGAAGAACTTCTATGTGGAGTCTCCAGCTGTTGCAAAAATGTCTGAGAGTGAAGTTGAAGAATACAGGACACGAAGAGAAATCACTGTTGAAGGTCGCGACGTGCCTAAACCTGTTAAGACTTTTGGTGATGCAAGATTTCCAGGTAAAAACCGATAACATTATGATGCAACATACAATTTCTTATTATTGTGTTTTTTATATTTATTTTTTATGTTGTTGCATATAGTATTTTTTGAATGAATGTAGAATCATTGTAGTCTTTCATATACCTTCCATTTTCAGAGGTCTTTTTGATGTTTATTAGGATCCTAAATAATATGAACCAACAACTTTGATTAATAAGTCAATGTCAGCAATAATTCTTACTCAATATATTTATTTGTCTCAAAACAATTACTGGATAGTAATGTCGGTGGGTGGTCTCTTTTAATCTTTGCACTGTAAGAACACACAACACAGGTTGCCACTGACCTTATTCCTATAAAAAAAAGGTTATATCTGTTCTAATCTTTTTACTGTAAGAACAAACAACACAGGTTGCCACTGTCCTTATTCCTATAAAAAAAAGTTCTATCTGTTGGTCAATTCAGGATTGTTAAATTTTCTGTGATGTTTCATCAGTTTAGTCGTATTTGCTTAGCATGCTTGGAAGTTTCTTTATCTAAATGGAGTGGTACAGTTGAAGGTGGTCCCCATGTAAACAATGTAACTGCAGTCTTTTGGTTTGAGGTGGGGGTGGTAGTTCTCAAATCTCAATTCAAGAGATTTGCACTATAATCATCTTTGGCTCTAGTGATGGCGAGAAAGAGTTACCTGGAGGGATTCCCTTCGCTCATTTAAAATTGGGACACAGCAGTGATTAGTGAAAGAACAGTAAAGATCAAAACTTGTGGGATGACTTGGTGTCACACTCACAATAATTAATTTTAATGATTTGCAGATTATGTCATGCAAGAAATTGTGAAAGCAGGCTTCACAGAGCCTACTGCAATTCAAGCTCAAGGATGGCCAATGGCTTTAAAGGGTAGGGATCTCATTGGAATTGCCGAAACAGGATCTGGAAAGACTCTTGCTTATTTGTTGCCTGCAATTGTGCACGTCAACGCTCAGCCAATCTTATGTATGCATTTTTCTACGCCTTGACCTTATTATTTCTTCTTCATCCATTAGGGTGCATTTGGTACACAGGACAAAACAGGGATCACTGTTCCACGTTTACTAGTACTTTTATGTGGAACAAAGTGGAATAGGCGTGTTCCACCCCCACCCCATGGAACAAGATGGAAGAAGGTGGAACAGACCTATATTTTACCAATATTACCTTAAAATAGAACCTAATTCTTTTCTAAAACACCAAATACGCCTCTCTTTACATTTTATTCATTCTTTAAATTCTACATATTGTATTTTATGCTCTATAAGCTTACTTTACTGTCCTCAAAATATTATTTTTATACAATTTCTATATTTTGGTTAATTTGTGTAATTTATTAAATATTGATAATAAAAAAATAATGTAGAAGAAGTATAAAACAAAAATTGGAAACTACATAAATTTTTTTTTTTGGCATCATTTTAATTGTCTTGACGAAAACTTTCTAATGATATACTTTGTTAAAAAATATATATTTTATTATAATTTAATAAATTACGTAAATTAATCAAAATATATGAACAACTCATTATGGGTAAATTGGTCATTTTATTTGTTCTATCATGTCTAATTTTGTCTTACCAAAGGCTGAGCAGTTGTTCTGTTCTGTCCTGTCTGGATACCAAATGCACCTTTATGGCTGTTTTTTTTTCTTATTATATCCCAGCCATCCCGTTTGGCATGATTGTATATATTTCTTTATATGCAGCTCCTGGAGATGGACCAATTGTGTTAGTTTTAGCTCCAACTCGAGAACTTGCTGTTCAAATACAACAAGAAGCAACTAAATTTGGCGCATCTTCAAAGATTAAGAATACTTGCATTTATGGCGGGGTCCCAAAGGGGCCTCAAGTTCGTGATTTACAGAAAGGTAGGTGGTGATAAGCACAAAGATGACTTTACTACTGTATCGTGATGTTCATGGATCGGGTATATCCTAATGCTTCAGCTTATTTAAACATTTTCTAGCATAGTTCTCTTTGTTACACGAGCATATGTTTTATCATAGTTATTTTTTTTCTTCCGGTAGGTGTTGAAATTATTATTGCTACACCTGGAAGGTTAATTGATATGTTGGAGTCTCATCATACAAACTTGCGAAGGGTCACTTACCTTGTGTTGGATGAGGCAGATAGAATGCTAGACATGGGTTTTGAACCTCAGATGAAGAAAATTGTTTCTCAGGTTTGTGACTTAGATGATGATATTTATTGAAGTAATATCCCCCCTTCTTCGACCGAAGTTCTTTTTTTGCTATGAACAAGTTTAATAAGTAGTTTGTGTTACTATTTCTTGGCTGCCCAAGTTTTAGTTGGGAAATCAACAAAAACAGCCGTTTCAGCCGGATACATTTACCTGTTAGCCATTTCTATCCCAGAACTTTCAAAAAATGGCTACTATTTCTTGGCTGAACATGGTCTGCAAGTACAGGGACCAAATTTGTAAATTAGTCTAAATACTTCCTCAACTTGCGGAAGTGCTACTTGCGGACCTAGTCTAATATACAGATTTGGTTGCTGTACTTGCGGACAACGTTTATAAATTTCTTTTTTCTTTTTTAAACTTTTTGACCCCTTCGCAAGTTGAGGAGTTGCTACTTGCGGAGGTAGTGACCACTTTGAAAACGTGGGAGGGAAATGACTAAGAAGTAAACTTGATTGGCTGAAATGGCGATTTCTGTTAATTTCCCTTTTTAGTTGCTCCAAATTCTTTGTTGACACAGTGATTGAAAATTTATCTTTGTTCTATAGGTCTCATTGAAAGGCTAAATTAAGCTAGACTTGTTTTTGGGTTCCAAATCTTCTTCTTTTGCCTTTATCCAGTGGCAAGACACATAAAGGGATTGGGAAGTAAATGATTGTGTGCATTTATGTAAAATATATAATCACTGAAATTCAACATGTAAGATGAAGGATTGTGTGAGAATAGGAGTTAAGGTGAGAGGTGTAAGAAGGGATTTAGACCCTTGATCACTTTTAATCCCAAACCAACCCATGAATTGCTCTTTAGAAGGGAATTGATCCGGTATATCTCATTAGTGTTGATCTAGTGGTTCTCATCAATTAGGATTGGTACAAGGGTGGAGATCCCTTCTTACTCTTTTCACCATAACTTTCATTCTCATCGGAACCCAACCCCAACATGTAATTCGATATACAATTTTGATGACTATTGATAACCAGGCACTTGAGTTTTCATGAACTGCAGATATATTTTAGTTAGAAGATGAAGGATCTTGTGAGAATAGGAGTTAAAGCGAGGAGTGTAAGAAGGAATTTGGACCCTTGATCACTTTTAATCTCACCCCAACCCTTTGAATTGCACTTCTTAGGGGAACTTATCCGGTGCATCTCATTAGGGTTGATCTTCAATTAGAATTGATCCAAGGGTGGAGATATCTTACCCTTCTCACCAATCACCATAACTTCCATTCTCACCAAAACCCAACCCTTAGTCTGTTCTTTTTTCTGTTTCTGTAAGCTGTTTATGTTCTTCTTCTTACACTAATCAACCAATTCACATTAACCCTGAAAACGGCTTCGCTATTTAGAACGAAGGGGGAAAAGAAATCCTATAACTACAGTGTGATCAAGGGACTACTAAAGCAACAGTTCTTTTTAAATTTTACCACATTTCTCTGTGACATATATGCAGATACGGCCAGATCGTCAAACCTTGTACTGGAGTGCCACATGGCCAAAGGAAGTTGAGCTACTTGCAAGACAGTTCCTTTACAACCCATACAAAGTAAGTTCCTTTTCGCAATACTAGTTACTTTTTTCACCATATATCCTTTTCTATGCTGTTAATTGCGGCGAAATAGTGGTTCCGCTAATCACCGCAATTGGGCTGCGATTTTGATTTGGAATAGCGATGTGAAAACCGCAATTAAGAGTTGGTCTTTTAATTGGCCTTTTTAAAGGGTTTAGAGAAGTAGGTTAAGGGATTACGAGCTAGGGGGCTGATTTTGATGTGCAATTTTGGTGTGTAAACTCGCTATTCCTCTTTCTGTTCTAGTTTACTATTCTGCATCTTCTCTTCACAACAACATTGTCTTCCAACATTTATTGCTCGTCATCTCTTCTATTCACGTGTTCTTATGTTCATCTTCAAAATATATATTATGTTATGTGTACATTCATACATTTATATATAAATGTAATTATTACATGAACTGCTATTTGTGGACCGGTATACCACTGCTTTGCCATCGTAATAACCGCTATATCAAATCATGCTATTTCAGATTTTGACCGCTTTAACAGCATAGATCCTTTTTCAGTCAGCTTCTTTCTCTCACAAACACACAAAACACTATAGTTTCAGTTTTCACACGGACTGAATATTTGATGTTTCATCGGCAACTTGTGGTGTTGCCATGCTGCTACTTGAAATATATACAGGTGGTAATTGGTTCTCAAGACTTAAAAGCTAACCATTCTATTCACCAACACGTGGATATTGTTACCGAGAATCAGAAGTATAACAAGTAAGTTGATAATTTTTTTGGAGGTCACGATGAGATGGCCAAGGTTATTCAATACGGCTTGTCGAATCTATAGATGCTTGTAAGTAATTATTTTGCTTGATATCAGACTGGTCAAACTGCTGGATGATATCATGGATGGTAGCCGGATTCTGATATTCATGGACACTAAAAAGGGGTGTGACCAAATCACCCGTCAGCTCAGGATGGATGGTTGGCCTGCTTTGTCGATTCATGGAGATAAAAGTCAAGCGGAAAGAGATTGGGTTTTGTCCGAGTTCAAAGCTGGTAAAAGTCCGATAATGACAGCCACAGACGTTGCAGCTCGTGGGTTAGGTACTTGTTGTTCAAGGCAGCCTAAATCTTGTTTCAAATTTAACATTTTACTGATGACACTTCTAGAACTCTAAACTTTGGTAACATGCATCCACTTGGTTAAGCTGTTAGGCGACCAACTTATTTGGAAAGCTAAGAGTGTTTGATGTAACTCATTCGTGTTTGACGCATTGAGTGTATGCTGTACTGCTGTAGAGACCAGAGTGTATGCTGTAACTCATTCGTGTTTGACGCATTGAGAAAACCATGTGCAACTGTACAAATAGAACATAGGGCGTCTTTCTAGAACAAGTGTGACAAGGGGGCAGTTTACCAACAGAGACTGGGTTAGCGTTAACTGGGTAAGTGTGCGGTCTTGGTCACTAATCACTGACCGAGTAAGAGCCTCTCCTTTAGCGTACTACTGGTCAGCCATCTTGGCCAACGTCCCGGACCGGTAAGAGGGGCTTGGTAAACAGCAGCATCTCTGACCTTGTAAGCGCCTCTTACTGGGCACGAGGCGGTAAACAGGTTGTAAACAGCCCCAAAGTCTCCACTAGGGGCCGTTTACCAAACTCTTACCTGAGTAAGTGCTTATCGGCAAAATTCAATATTATCACTTACTTACAAGTAAGATTTTAGGCTACCAAAACGATATCGTACTTTATCCTCCTTGCGCTATGAATTGGCTTTCTTGTTGTTAATGGGCAGGGGTCCTGGGGCCGGACCTACCATATCAAAAGGGTCGTAGTAAAAGAACCCGCCCAATGCTTACTATCGAGATTGGTTCGTCAGGCTTTACTCCCATTCCAAATGTAACAATTTACCCGGTAAGTGCTAACCGTGGTAAGAGTCGTCGTCGTCACTTACCGGGTAAGACTCTAGGTCCTTATCTTCGCTCTTACCGGGTAAGATTTTTGGTCCTTGTCATATTCATCGGTAAGGTAATGTAACTTGATAAGCACTCACCGGGTAAATGTTTGGTAAACGGCCTCTTAGTTCCAGTTCTAGTCAGTATTCCTTTCTTACACTTGACATCAGGTTCTTGCATATGATTGCAGCTCTAGTAAATTGTGTAGATTTGCCCATTAAAATAAAAGCAAAGCCTTATATGGTCAGCCACCTGTTCATCGTGATTGAAGGCTATAATGATTAAAGAAACTTACAACTATTAATTGAGAGAAGAAAAAGGGAGAGGTAGTTTTCTCATCATCATTATCTTTTTATTCCTCATGGGTAGGCATTCTCCTTCAAATGTTTCTGGTTCTTTCTTGTTTGCCTTTTGGTAAGTAAAAGATGCCAAATGCATCAAGTATTGATACCATGATGAACGTAGAAGTACTTGAGTCACTTCTTCTGGAACTTCCAGCCAGCCGCCACAAAATTCTAAGTGATTCCTTCAAAATAGGGCCTTCTGATCAGTCATTATACTTGTATATCTCTAGAAGAACAACAGTCACAATTCTCATCACAACTACAAGAGCTTGTTTGTAGTTATATTAGATTGTCACAAGGCCGACAATTTTTCAGGCCTGTCCCGGGCCTTCCAAGCCCGTTTTCAGTGAGTGAAAAAAAGCTTGGGACATGCCGGGCTTGGGAGTTGAAAAAAGGACCCGATTGGGTTTTTCAGGCTGAGCTAGGTCTAATTGGGATTTTCCAGGCGGGGCCTAGGCCCGGGCCTGCCTCTCAATATTTCAGCTCGATCAGATTTTTGAGGTCTGGCCTGGACTGGGCTTTGTGCACACTAGGGCCAGGCTATATGGCCGGGTTTCAGGCTTGGGTTCTTTGTGCATTTCTATCCCAGTTATTATCAGTCTGTAAAGTAGATTACCTCTTGGATTGATCTTATCGTCTTCAATTTATGAACATGGAGAATATTTCTCTTGAATGTCTCCGTTACCACTTGTTTTCTTCTATAAGCTCAATTTATCAGTCTTTATCATTTGGTATAAGCTTTCACTTTGTCATTAATTGATAGATTGTAGGATGAAGTCTTTATCATTTGGTATAAGCTTTCACTTTGTCATTTGATTTTGGCATTATAATCACTTCAATATGTCGTCATTGTTGTTGTTTTGATAGATTGTATGAACCAAAATGTGTGGTGTTCATATTATTGATTAAATGATATGATTGCAAATGAATGACAGATGTGAAGGACGTCAAATATGTGATCAATTATGATTTCCCTGGTTCATTGGAAGATTATGTTCATCGGATTGGTCGAACAGGAAGAGCCGGGGCCAAAGGGACAGCATACACCTTCTTTACAGCAGCAAATGCTAGGTTTGCTAAAGAACTTATTGCCATCCTTCAGGAGGCAGGCCAGAAGGTGAATCCTGATCTAGCTGCAATGGGCCGTGGTGCACCTCCTCCTCCATCAGGTTGGTTGGCTCAATTCGTGTGTGTGTATATATATATATATATATATATATAGAGAGAGAGAGAGAGAGAGAGAGGGATGAAGGATCATGCGAGATGCTAAACATTTTGCGAGAAGTCGAGAAGTCTCAATATTATATATGATTACACTTCTTTGGGTGTGTTTAATCATATATGATTAAACGTCTTTGTGTTGTCAATGCAACTTGTATTTAAGCATATATGATTAAGCTTGTGTATCATATGTGTAATCATATATGATATTGGAACTTCTCGCCTTCTTGCATAATGTTTAGCTTCTCGTTTCCAGGTCAGGCTTTTTCAGGGCTGAGCCTGCCCCAAAGACTTCGGCCTGATCGGGCTTTGAGGCTTAGCCTGGACCAGGCTTTGGGCTTACTTGGCTTGGGCTTTTTTGTGCGTCTTTAATCTCACACAGGGTTTAGGTTTGAGGGTAATGTATGTAGACCTGACCTCCACCAAAAAAGGGTAAAGCGGTCATTTTCTTGAAGAATCCCGGATTAAAATAGATTATGATAGGCAAGAATTTGTGGGATTTGTTTTAGTCGTGGATATATGATGGGAACTCGGTTTTTCTTGGCTATGTAACTCATGGCATTTTTAACTTTGTGGTGGGTAGGACATGGTGGTTTCCGTGATCGTGGTCGGGGTTACGGCGGTGGTCGATCATGGAACGGATGAGCAATAACAATCACCACCATTGTGAGGCGGCAACAGAGGTGGATATGTTATCGGGCTTTTTCGTTGTAAACAGTGAATTTGGAGTAGTTTGAACTGGTTAGTATTGCAGTTGGGAGATGTTATGTTTGTGTACTGAAGATAAGGAGTCAGCAAGTAGAAGTTTCAATCTTATGGACCTTGCACCTATTTTCAGAGTTTAAATCAATACCATCTATCTATCTTCTTAAATGATATTATAATGAGTGTGTACTCCATTTGTTTATGAACATTGTAATGTTATATATGATGAGTACTTGGAGCCAGAGATGGCCAAAAAGCGGGATCGGGCCGGGCCAGGACCAATTGATTTCTCTCTTGTAACCGGTCTCCGGACTGCCATGTTTTTTGTGCAATACCGTATCACGTTTACTCTCTCGTAACTGGGCTAGGCCATGTTTTTTGTGCGATACCGCACGTTTTCTCTTGTAAACGGATTGGGCCCGGTTTTTTCTCTTGTAACTGGGCTAGGTCATGTTTTTTGTGCAATACCGTAGCCGGGCCAGAACCGCCGGGTCCTGGTCCTATGTCGGTCCCAAAATGCCGGTCCATTTTGGCTATCTGTACTTGGAGATGCTCAAAGAAGTATTTGCTTGAAACCTGTCGAAAATACCTGGTCCTAGTGAGCCTGAGCCCGAATTCAAACATGAAGCTTTAATAAGTTGTACGTACGTATAATTTATTTGTAATCTTGAATTTTAATAGTTTTTTAAGAGTTTTTTTGTCAAATTCTTTATAATATAGTATAGATAATAGGCCATGGTCGTATTCGAAGCAGACATCCACCAAAATTTACCACTGTACGAAACTTTAACCTTTCTATACTATAGCATGAAAATACATATAATCCAATAAGTCATTGTAATTAACTTATGCATCTGCCAACAAAGGATCAACATCAAAATTAAATCGGTATAAGTATCACTATTTTTCAAGTTTACACTTTACCATTGACGAGTCTTGAACTCTTGAGTAGTAAAAATGTTACCAATGCATCTGCCAACAAAATTTCAAAATCAAAATTAGTTCAAGAATAGAGATGGAAAAATACGGTCCAAAGATCTAGGATTTTGAAGAATTAAACATAGATGAAGAAGTCAAAGTCATCTAATTTAATAGAGATATAAATAAGCAGATACTGACAAAGAAATAAAGAATTGAGATAAACATAAATGAATTGATTCTTATCGATATTAGTTAGTTAGACATATATTTAAAGGAAATGAATATAGATGAACATTGTGGGTGGGTTTGGGGGTGATAACAAAAAGTTAGAAGCTTTAGTAACTTGTACTGATGATGCATCATTAGTTTGTACTCTTAAATTTTAAGTAATATGCATTAAAAATTAGTACGTTATATATTGTAATTTGTACTTAAGAGTTCTGCGTAAATGCTTTATAATATAGTATAAATATATAGTTTTACGGGTTGTTTATGAAATGCTTATCGGGCAAATTCTTATCGATATAAGATATCATGCTCATTTACCTTATTGTATAGCATTATCTGCCATCAAATTGAATTATGGGTAAGCATCTTAAACCCTATACGTACTTACTAGTAAGAGTCTTTTTGCTCACTTAGAGGTTGTTTACCAAACGCTTATTGGATCAATTATCTTATCGGGTGATCATAGAAAAGATCGAGAATCTTATTCAATAAGAGAGAAAACAAGGATTGAAGAGTCGGCTTACCGAGTGATAAACGCTCACTTTTATGGTTGAGAATGTTACACGATAAGGTAAGCGAATATGGTGACTCTGCCGATAAGTGCTTATCTGGTGAACTTTTGGTAAATTATTCCTTATCGAGTGAAACTCTCGATCAGAACTATGTCTCTAAGATTCTCGTACGTGATATCGATAAACGCTTGCTCGATAAGTTTTCAGATAATTCCATGCAAAACCATCAAATTGGAATTTATTTGCTGGATTCTATTACTTCCAATTTCCAAACACTTTTTTGTGTGGCCCAACTGCATCACCATCGCCACGCAGCTTTCCAGTTTCCACCCTAATTTCTTTCAGAAGCCATCTCAGCAACCAAAAGCAACAAGACGCAACGCAAATATCCCAGAAATATAAAATCGCCGGATCGACCTTTCCATCTCCTTCATCAAGGTTTGATTCATATAATTCCAATTGATTACTGTTCTTAGATTCTTTCGTATTCATAAGTTGGATGTTGCTATGCAATCACATGTTCTTGTTGTTCTTACCAGGGTATTAAATTAGGTTTTTGTGTTATTTTAGGCAAAATTTTTGTAGTTTTCGAGTTATTCTGAGGTGAATATCGATTTCCCTCATATTTGGAGGATTCGAACAGATCTGTGATGCATTTGTTGCCGTGTTGGGTTTTTTTATGGATTATCTAGTAGCTCGGTTCATCATCTGGATTGTTCTTTCATTCTAATTGAGAAACTTTGTAGCTAGGGTTTCTTTATTCTATTGATGTATTAAAAGTAAATCTTCACTTGTTAGTACAAGTTAACTTTCGGTGGAATTTACCTTTGTTGTACAGTAAATGAGTGGCTCAATTAGATTGATAACTTGTTGCTCATTTTTAAAAGAAGTTCCTTTAATAGCATTGACTTCATACAAGTATTTGGTGTTAGAAAATGCACCAAATGAACTTTCGGAGGAATTTACCTTTGTTGTACGGTAAATGAGTGGCTCAATTAGATTGATAACTTGTTGCTCATTTTTAAAGGAAGTTCCTTTAATAGCATTGACTTCATACAAGTATTTGGTGTTAGAAAATGCACCTAATTAACTTTCTTGAATTACTAGTATTGTTGCATATATGTTAATGTACGTTTATTTGCACTTTTAGGTGTGGTGACCTTCATATTTTTTTTGCTATTTCTTGAATCACTTGTACTTGTAATGAGTTGTATGTTTCTCTTCTTCTGGCAGCATTATATTTAATGGCAGGGAGACACCGATATTCTCCATACAGAAACCATCGTGGGCATCCTCCAGAAGGGCCTCCTTCGCGGCTTCATATGGCTCGACCCATGCCACCCCATCCTGTTATGTTGGAAGAAGAACTTGAAATGCAACATCATGAAATCCGCAGGCTTTTGGGTGAAAATCGAAGGTTAGTTGAAGATCGCATTGCTCTGCAACGAGAGTTAGGTGCTAGCAGAGAAGAACTTAGGCGAATGAACAGTGCAATTGCTGAGATTCAAGCAGAAACTGAATTGCATTCAAGGCAGCTTATTGAGCGTGGGCTGAAGCTTGAAGCTGATCTTCATGCCACTGAACCTCTGAAAAAAGAGGCTATGCAACTTCATGCTGAAGTAGAGAGGCTTAGTTCTATTAGGCATGATCTATCTGGGCAAGTTCAGACTCTCACAAAAGACATTGCAAAACTGCAAGCTGATAACAAGCAGCTTCCATTGTTGAGAGCAGAGCTTGAGGGACTACAGAAGGAGCTAATGCATGCTAGGTTTGAATCCCCACTGTGGTAGACGCCTCATATTGTATAAAATAATGGAATTCGTTTAGCTAATGTCATGCCTCTTGTAGAGCTGCTATTGATTATGAGAAGAAGGGAGGTATTGAGCTGATGGATCAAAAACAGGCAATGGAGAAGAACTTGGTTTCTATGGCACGGGAGGTTGAAAAGCTTCGGGCAGAACTTACAAATACTGATGCTAGACCGTGGGGTGCTGGTACATTTTTATTTTGTTCTAATGCTTTCTCACTTCTGCTGGTGCAAGTATTGCTTTTCCATCTGTCTCGCAGAAATTCTTTTGTCTGTGCCAAGACTAGCTAAGTTTTCTGGTCACTTCCGTTTCTGTGTTCTTGAAAGTAATAGCACTAGCTTTCATGCCATGTAAAACTGAAGAGGATGTTGCAAGTGTATTATTTTTGAAAAATTGCAAGTATATTAGGGCTAACAGATGTTTCCTTGCTAGTCTCTGATACTTGGTTGTTTAGGTGGATCATACAGGATGAATGTTGGCAGTTCTGGTGGCAGTTTTCCTCGTCCATATGGCGATTCATATGGGCGTACACTGGTATGGTTGCTACATCGTTCAGAGTTTTAGATAGCTATTTGATCATCACACGTGATTTCTCCTTTACATTTTCGATTTAAATTTCTCCAATGTCTTCAGGGTGCTGCCGACAATGGTACATTGTACGGTTCAAGTTCTACTCCATGGGCAGAGCTCGAGAAATCTCGAATGGCTCGTCGCTGAAACGTCGATGGTTTCTTTTCAAGTTGAAAATCACTTCTTCTCCTTGTTGTCTTGGCTATCCATTATGGAGTGGGTAGAAGTGTATAGCTCTTCTGAGTTTGTGTTTACATCGGTAATTCCTTTGTTTGAACTGATTAGACATCTTTACTAGGTGAAATAGGATTTCTGGGTTGCTTTCTACTACCAATTACAGCAATGATTCTCATGTGTGCACATTTTACCTTGTAGCTATATTATTATGGTTTAGAAAGTTTAAGGTGGGTGTTATTTATATTGAAATTTCCCGCTTTAATGCTAACAGGACCAGATGGTTCATTTTTAGTTACATATCCAGAGTTTACTGTTTCTTCCCTGATTGGAATAGGGGTGCAGAAGTAGCAGTTTGTGGTTGACTTAGCTGCAAGTTATTATCTTTGTGTGTTGAGATGGAACATCATATAGTACCACATATGTTAGAACATAGAAGTGTAGGTATTGACCACAATGATCATAGCAACTAGCACACATTATGAGTTGGTATATTTGTTTGAGTTTGTATAAGAAGTTTCATTATGGACAAGCATTTGGCATATATGTGGCGTCAGGCATGTGAAGTTCGAGCCTTTCAATTCAGTGTCAGACTACACTATTTTTGCTCTGTAAGAAGCATATGTCCATAAGATACCTTGATACTTCTGACAAATGTGGTGGCATCCACGATAGGATGATGAGTGTGGTAGTAAGGGATTTGATGGTCCAATCTACATGATATTTTCAACTTAAGGAGGGAGCATAATGCAATTAGATGCATGTTCCGCTGGTAGTGTTTCACGTCCCTTGGTATTTGAGGAGACATATGAGTGGGGTGGCCTGAGAAATGGACTTAATGTCCCTTGTGGTGATTTTTGATGTCATTAACGGTTGTCATTGGTTGTTGATTGACACATTGAATTCAATCTTGTTCAAGTTAGTGGAGAAGCCTTGAATTGCATGTCGTAGAGCAACTAATTGGACATAGATGTGGACAAGATTACAGGAAAAAAGGGATAAACATTTCCTGCTTGGTTAGGATGTGATCTTCTCTTTCTCCTTGCTTTTGATGCAATGAAGTTCAAGTTACATTGAATCACTTTTGGGTTTTAATTCTATTGCTGCATTGCAATTGCTTGAAGCTGGAGAGGAGGATTGAGGCTTATGTCTCCCATAAATTGTTTATTGGCATTTGTGCTTGCTTCAATACACTATTTGGTGTTCTGTAATGGAGATGCTATGAAGCGATTCATCTGGAGAGATTTTGGAAGACACCCTCGAGCATGAAATTGAAAGCAAAGGGGTCAACATTCAAGAGTTTGACGTCTCTCTTGCTGATTGCAGCCCTCTAGACAACGATCATGCAGGCTTCTCATGTATCTTGTTTTGGTGCAATCTTTGCTTATTTCTACATCTGATTGTAATGCTGCACTATACTTCAGTAGTCAGGATAATCTCGCCACCATCCAAGACAGCTTTGCTCGTTTCATGTTGATGCCAGCCGTGCACGTTTAGAGGAAAGGAGGTCGAAAGGCCATCTCACATGGGGCTGAGTTCTCGTATGGACTTTATGCTCTAGGCAAGTATTCTGTCTCCATTTTGTGGGTAATTTAGGTTCCAACTTCCGTGAATATAAATTTTTAGCCACCCTACATAAATGTACTTTATTTACTTAGATTATTGTCTCTACTAGGTGTTTGTTTATTTTGGAACCTTGGCATAGATATATGTGTCTTACATGGAAGTAAATTTGTATCTTTTGGGGTTGATTTTAGGTGACTTTAGTTCTATATGCTTCTTTTCCGGTTGCATCAGAACAAAATCGCTCTTTTGATGTTACTAGGATTTCCATTATTAAATCCCACTCTATCTTGTCACCGTTTCTCACTTCTCTTTGCGGTAGGGATAGTTTCTAGTTTGAAAATAATTTTGTTACTCGTAATGCAGTATTCCTAAGCTGAGCCTATCCACTGGACCTCAATAGGTCATGCAAGCTACAATCCTGTAGTTTGGTGATGAGAGTAATGATATTCTGGACGAAATGGTGCACCGAATTCGCTCATGATGCTGATCAGCTCATGTCAGTTTTTTAGATGAACGTTAGCATTATAGATGAATTTAGAATTACCCGTTGGAATAAATTTTACTCTTAGTTGTCCTTCATCGTGGCAAGTAGGCCAGTGCTGTGATCTTGCAAAGATTTTGTCATTTTTAGTTACCATTAGACAAGATTACAGCTGACCCATTAGGTCTTGATGCCTTGTCCATGACCTAAGTTTCATCTGGAGGAGGCTTGGGTGCTTCATCACTTGTGAAATGAGACAACACAAATGATATGGATGCTAGGATAACATTCTGACAACTTTAAAGTACACGGGACCTTCCCATAACCTTGCTGCTTTTTTTTGGGTAACCATGAGTGTCCAGGCCATATTGCGTGCACCTCAACTAATCTCATTAGGCTTGAAGATAACAGCCATGAAAAATCCCAGTGGCCTTAAGAAGATTCGAACCGGCAACCTACAGGGAGAGTTCCCAAGGCGTCCCCAGGCCTAGTACTTGTTTGCCGGTTAAGCTGGCCCTTAACGTTGAGAAGCTTGTTGCTTCAGGTTGGCCCTGAATTGTCATCTTATCTCCAATTACACATTGAAGAAAAGATGACATTGTACTTCAGGTTATACCATCAAAGGTGATCATTAATCTGCATGAGTTCTTAATAGCTTTCTATAGAACTTGCTACTATAGTCAAAGATTCAAGTGGTGCATTTCCTATATATGAGAGGTTGTCTTAGGGCCTGTTTGTTAGCAGCTTATGAGCTTAATGGGACTCCAAGCTTATTCGGTCAGCTATACATGACTGTTTGGTAGTGGCTTAATGATATTGAAAGTGGCTTATTCAGTAAGTTTCTTTTATGTAGAAAGTCAAGTTTTTTTTCCATCCTCCCAGTTAAAAAACACGCACCTTCCATCTATGAAAAAATCCTTCCAAACAAAGACCTTCCCAGTCCATACAGACATATTAATCCACTCAGACAGCTTTATGCATACAGAACTTGATGGAAACCAACCAAACAGCCCCCTAGTAGATCTTTGATATGGTCAGATAGTTTTTTATTTCGTAGTGAGCACCTATGCTAATATAAACCAAACAAATCCATTATGTCCCACCTGGAAATGGGGTCTGTGCGAATATGGTTCTTACCTATCTTTTCATAGCTAATGTAGCTTTGTTTTTTTTGACATTTATCATTCAATAACAAGATAGGGAGCTCATAGAAGGAACATTAGGTGGTTATATTGATCTCTCATTGTGACAAGATGGTAACTAAATCCGACTCGGCTTGGATTTAGGTTACTTTCTTTTTGAACCTTTGCAACAAACCAGATGTCTGCCTGGAAACAGTTGCTCTACTCTTTAGAGTATACATCCCCCACCTCCGGGTGGGGTATACTGAGCTGGTTTGGTTTGGTTTAGATTAGCTGTTTTTGAACATGTTTCAGTTTTTAGATATGTTCAACTATGTATATATAGGGTTTGGTTCTGGTGAGAATGAAAGTTATAGTGAGAAGGGCAAGAAGGGGTCTCCACCCTTGGATCGATCCTAATGAAATGCACCGGGTCAATTCCCGTGAGAAGCGCAATTCATGGTGTCGGGATGAGATTAAAAGCGATCAAGGGTCCAAATCTCTTCTTATGCTTCTCACCTCAACTCCTATTCTCACACAATCCTTCGTCTCTCTCTCTCTATATATATATATATTGTCATTCATGATTTTTTAGCCTTTGATTGCTTTGCAGATTAACATGATGTATAATTCCCACACGAGATTTATACTTTTAAGTGTTTTGCAGATAGGCACGGTTGCAAAGCGCAGAAGGCGTCTTCCAATGGTCTGGGAGGATGGGTGATATCTGAAATTGGTAAGATCTGCTATATCCTGTCCGTTAAATTCAACCATAAATAACAAGGAGAAAGCTAGTTAAATCTAATCAAGAATCAATCACACCAAAAAAGTTTCTGATCCATAAGCTTTTCAATCCTCTCCCTTCGGAACACACTCAGTGAAGCTTTTGAATGTCAAGGTTTTAGTACCTTCACTTCTCCTTGAGTTCATTTTTTCCGGTCAAGCCAATGTGTTATTTTAAAGCTCTTTCTGACTTCTCCTTGAGTTCATTCTCACCCATCTCCTAGTATTTTTTTTATTGTTTTGCAAGTAGGGAGTCTTCACATAAACAACCTCTCTACCCCTTGACCATACATCTGTCTGGTATATATATATATATACACACACACATGTATATATAGGAGAAAAATCGTGTGAGGAGAGTTAAGTTGAGAAGCGTAAGAAGGGATCTAGACCCTTGATCACCTTTAATCGCAAATCCACCCATGAATCGGTTGATACGGGGATAGATCACTGCATCTCATTCTAATGTGCATTTAAGGGTGGTGATCTCTTCTTACGCTTTTCACTTTAACCCTCCTCCTCACATATATATATATACATATACATATATGTATATACATATACATATATGTATATACATATATCTATATACATATACATATATGTATATACATATATCTATATACATATACATATATGTATATACATATAGATATAGATATATGTATATACATATAGATATATGTATATACATATAGATATATGTATATATATATATATATATATATAGGGTTGGGTTCCGATGAGAATGGAAGTTATAGTGAGAAGGGTAAGAAGGGATCTCCACCCTTGGATCAATCCTAATTTTGGATCAATCATAATTGAAGACAAACAGTAATGAGATGCACCGGATCAATTCCCGTACCAAGCGTAATTCATGGGGTGGGAGTGAGATTATTAAAAGTGATCAAGGGTCCATATCCCTTTTTACCCTCCTCATCATAACTTTTGTTCTTACCGGAACCCAACCCTTGATTTTATATATATACACATACATACATAGGGTTGGGTTCCTATGAGAAATGTAACCTTTAACATAATATATGTGAAGATATTCTTATATTGTGTGAAAGCATGTGGAAGGGACCGACTTTACAGACACAAGTTAAAGTACACATTCAAGTCCTATAACCTTCTCCACCTTCACAAAACAAAATATAACGTAACTTTCGCACAACACAAAGGTACCTTCACCTTCACCACTTCTCGCATTTCTCACTAAAAATCTTTTTCCTCACTCAATCCCAAAGCTACATATGTGTGTGTACATATATGTATATATATATAAAGAGAGAGAGAGAACACTGACCAAATAGGAGAACACGAGAACGGCCAAAGCACACGTGATTTTACACTAAGATCATGCGTAAAATCATGTCATTCGCATGACTTTGGCGCCAAGTGCCCCGCACGCCTTTGTGTTTGTTGTGTTCCGTAATCACATGTGATTTCAATGCAAAATCATCTTGCCGTTTTCATGTTCTTTTATTTGCGCTCCTTTATCGTTTGATCCAACCTCTATAAATACGTGTGTGTGTGTGTTTATATATACATAACACCAACCAGTAACATGGTTAGTATCTGTGTTTTTAATTGTTAAGAGTACTACCGTTAGACTTGGACCATATCTTCTCAATTTAGTTTGGAACCTTCCTTTTCTTTTGAAAGGCTCTTTTGGAGATTAATATGAGTTTCTATATATTCTCACATTAATCTTCTAAGTGATGGAAATCGTTTGAAGACTTGTTTCTGTGTGTGATCCCAGTTTGAAAAGAGTCTCTCGACTCCTTCGGTTTTCACCATTTACCTAAACTCATTATTCATGTTATGGTTCCCGGTTTTATCGGTGCTTGGTTGGGGATAATAGGGTTGGGAATAAAAATGATAATCTTTAATGATGTTTGGTTTGATGCGGGATTTCATCCTCGAACAAAATTCCATTTTTATTTATTTATTTCATCTATTCCATGACCGGAATAGGGGAGGTGGTAATGGTGATGATAGTATCTTGTACTTGAACCGGTGGCTCGGTTTTTCTAAGCAACGAGGAAGAGGACCGAAACATGACAGTGAAAGACTTTAGGGCGGTTTATGAAACGTTTAATGGGTAACTTACTTTACCGGATGAGCATGGCAAAAACCAAAAACCTTACTCAAGAAGATGCATGGCAACAACCGAGGTTCTTACCCAGTAAATGAGGGAGAAAAACTATTGTTCGTTTAGCGTTAACGGGGGTAAGCGACACAAACAATCTGTTTTGATGGCTGAGAATGTTATCGGACTAAATAAGACATGGTGGTGACTTGCCGGTAAATGCTTACCTGATAAGCATTTGGTAAACAACCCGTTAATGGGCTATTACCAAATACCGGGTAGGGAGACATTCCTCGACAAATTGATTAAATAGAGCTTTTCCATTTTCCAATTTTCATTCCGTTCATATTCATATTCATATTCTCCTTTTCGTCCATGGGAGATTGAAAAACGTAGCATTCCGATATTCTGTGTTTTGTGTAAATTACATCGATTATGGGACAGTTAGATTCGAGTATGTACCATTTTTTTTAAGTCCGACGGTGGATGGAGGTTCTCATGTTCTGTTTTTGGGGTTTCTCTTGAATACATTTGAGTCAACGTGAAGTTGTATGGTATCATTAGTATTCACATATGAATTAACAGTAAATTGTCTCAATATTATTCACATACGATTAATACCACCAAACCATTTACCTGATATTAACTTGCCGTTGAGCTTGGTATAAATTCACATGTGAATGATATTGATTGGTCATGCAATGAAATTGTTAGTTTACAAGAATAAGCAGATGTACTTAAATATATTCTATCCAAGAAACAAATGAACCAATATACTATTCGTATGAAACTATTTATATTTATCCAAAAAATATGTGTTCAAATATATAAATTGTATGCAAAAGTAACATACTTTAACTTGATTTTTTTTTTGGTAGTGTATTGTCAAAACTTCTATTTTGGTACCTAAGATGTAAAGTTTCAAACATTTAAGTACTCGGGTAATCGATTGAAGACTAATTTTAGATTAAAAAAATCTATATAACTAATTACATTAACAAATAATACTTAATTGAATATTACATCAACATCATAATTGATTAATTGATAATAACTGCATTGATTTTTTTTAAGCCTGCTTTTATATTACATTTTCGTGCCACAAGATATTTTTTATATGAGTCGGCAGAGAGTTTTCAAAGTGTGCTGTCCCCTTGATAGAAAGGGAACAGCTAACGTATACAATGCAATAATTATAGTAAGAGTAAACTTTACATTTGGTCCTTGTAGTTTGTAAAAAATAACATTTTTTGTCTCTATAGTTTTGTAATTACAAGACGGTCATCATAGTTTCCCACAAGGTTCAGATTTGGTTCTCCCTTTTAACGGTCATTAAAAAATTCCGTTAAATATAGAACATTTGTCAATGTTTTGTCTTTTACTCGATCAAAAACCATATGGACCAAAATCATAAAATCTATTTTGGTTGTGTAAAAAAAATCGGGCACGAAGAAACGACAAATCCCAACTACAAATATATATATATATGGGTTTAATCAAATGAGAACTGATTAGTTTGTGGTAACTGTGAGATCCAATCTCAATCACAAATCAACGGATAAAATAGGAAATTAATAATTATGGTAGTTTGAGTTAAAATTATAATTAGAGGTCATTTTAGGTATTTTTAAAAAACTCCTCTCTCAGACCTCCAATCTCCGGCCGTCGGTGAACAAAAATCCGGCAGATACCAAGTAATCACAAAGATACACAATGTGATACCCATTGTGATATACAATGATACTCAAATGGTATCACAGTATATCACAATATGTATCACATTGTGTATCTTTGTGATTACTTGGTACCTGCCAGATTTTTGTTCATCTGAGGCCGGAGATGGGAGGTCGGAGAGATGAGAGATAAGATAGGAGAGAGAAGAAATGAGTTTTTTAAAAATACCTAAAATACCTAAAATGCCCTCTAATATATATATATATAAGAGTAGAACTGCTAAGGGCATTTCATCCCGCGTAAGCATTTGGATAATCAAGAATATGACACGGCATATCTGAAAGCCCTAAGAAATGCTGGGTAAGAAGGTCGGATTTACCTCGAAAAATCTGATCCAAAAATAGATTTGACCTAAGGACGGACCTAGTATGTAGCATAAGGCGGCACGTGCCACCATATTATTCCTTTGTCGAAGGGAAAAAAATAGGTTCGTGAAAGGTGTAACTGTATTAATTTGTTGTGTGCCATCGTATGTATTTTGAAACTTCAATGAGAACAAGTTTTATTTGGTAGGGTTGGTTTGGAAGGCTTTTATTTCACCTCAGTCCCAAGTTCGAATCATGTTAGTGTCGTTTTCTTAGTCGAGTGGTGTCACCATTTGAAAAAAGTTTCGTATATTTGTTTCTTATAGTCAAACGGTTCCACCGTTTGAAATTTTTTCTATATATTTTTTTTCTTATACTCAAATGGTGTCACCGTTTAAAAAAAATTGGGTCCGTCCCTGATTTGACCTAAATTTTCAAGATATGTTCGACCAAAGATTTTACCTACCGAATAGTAAAATCATGCAAATATAGCAAAAAACGGGTCTCATAGTAAGTACATAACGAAAATGTGCAAGAAAATGTCTCTCATTTAACTGGATTTTTAACGACCATTAAAGGAAGTATCAAATCCGAACGTTTTTAAAAACCACGATGACCATCTTATAATTTCGTAACTGTTAAGACCGAAACCGTTATTTTTACAAACCATAGGAACCAAATTTGTACTTTACTGAATAATAAAGCGGATGCTTTGAGAAGGAAGGACCACGGAGATGAATTGACAGACTTACCCTTCTCAGCTTTTATGGAACAAACCACGTGACCATCCATCCCCTTATCCCTTTCCTCGTGACGGGGGCAGTTGAATATGTCGGATCCAATACGATCCGATCCAAACCAATAACTACAAACCACTAAATGCTCCACTTTTTAAAAAACATCATATATAATTATATATATATATATATATATATATATATATATGGTTCATGTGAGATCAGTTTGTTTTAAGAGACTCGTGAAGTCACTTTTTTAAACCCGAAACTTCAAAGCAAAACATTGTGAAAGTAAAAAAAAGTCGAACCTTTATAGAGTTCTGTTGTGAAGTTTCAAGTGTAAAAAAAATGGTCTCACGAGTTTCACGAAAACAGACTGCTCTCACGTGATCTTAAGTCTATATGTGTAAAATATATATAACCAATCTAAATTTAAATATTGTGAATATCAGTTTTTATCTTATAGACAAAATAGTACATATTAACATGCAGTGTTTATACAATGTTATTTAATAAGTAAAATACAGGTCCAGCCCTAATCACATGCAATCCATGTAAATACACAGGACATCAGAACTCCAACGAGCATTGAGCTTTTAAGTGGTATTAGCTTTGTTTAATCATATGGGCTGTAAATAACAAGCCAAGTCGTCTAAGGCATCAACTAAGCGACTAGTCTAATTAAAAAAAGGCTGCGTAAATACAGTCATAAAAAAAATGAACAACTAAACTGATTCTTATTATTCCGCACAAGACACCAAAAACCCCAGGACCGGCCTTGATGAAACATCATGGGATGTTTTGTGTGATGAAACTTGGGCCTTGTTTGTTTTTTTATAAACAAGCTCTTATTAGCCTCTTATGTCTGATTCGTTAAGAAGTAAGATCATTTACACTGTTTGTTCTTTTTCCAAATTTTTAGAGACATTTATGTCTTATTATTCTCTTATCTGGTAAGAGGCAAACCAACCTCTTATTTGCCTCTTATTATTCTTCAAACCCTCAACAACGGGGTTTCTCAATCGATTAATCTTAATCGATCATTTCTCTTTATCAATCCTTACCAAATCAATCCCCACGTCTCTCAATTGATGTATTTTAATAAAATTTAAATGTGTTAAATACATTAATGACATATTTTCATTCAAAATTATGTTAATTATATATTTTAGATGTAAATTTCGTAATGATGATGAATAAATATGTAAAATTGTATAAATTTTATTTATAAATTCAACAATATAATTTTGTAATGCTTAAAATAGACAATTTGAACAAATTCAGACATTTATAAGTTTGTAAAAATAAACAGTCTTATTAAACATTAACACCACCTTTTATAAATCAAAAGTAAAATAAAACTTCAGACTTCAACATCTTTTAAAAACAAAATTAAAAAAGTTTTATTTATTAATCTCCATTTCTCAATTTCAACGTACTTCTCACTTATTCAATATTACACGTGTCATGTAAGCAACTAATTTGCATTTTCGAATTAAATAACTATTTTTAAAATTGTAGACGTTGAAATATTGATTTTTTTTTATGATTAAATAATTTAAGATGTCGATAATAAAATACAAAAATTAAATAATTAAATAAAAAAGGTTATAAAAATAACAAGTTGCAGCTTGGAGCACATGGCTGGTGGCACCTTGACTTCCCCAATTAATCCTCTTCATTATTAATTGAGTAAATTACCATTTTAGTCCCTCGTTACAAATTACGACTTTAGTCCTTGTTATTTTGAAATTATCGTTCCAGTATCTAAAGTTTGCAACTCATTGCTATTTTCATCTCTGAAACAATTTTTACCTTTAAGAATTAAGGACGAAAACAACAGTAGATTATAATATACAGATGAAACCTACTAAGGGTGCATTTGGTACAATACCAAGTACCAATCAGTTAAAATTGGTATACAAAATTCTATATTGTGTACCAACCGACTGTATTTTACATCATCTTTTTCCGTTCGTAACGGCTTTGTACCAATTACAAGTTACATATATTAAAACTTGTCATTTTGTTCAACTTTTGAGTGATATTTGGATATTCAGGTAAAGGCGTAAGCGCAGCAATTGTACTGCAAACGTTACAGTATTTAATATCTAATACATAAAAAATAAAAAACTAATAAATAATTAAATCAATCAATCAATAGCATGGTATGCAATTTCCAATAACGTGTACCAACCAAATGTGCATATTTGACGTGATACTACTAACCGATGTGATTGGTGCAGTTGGTATACATACTGACTGGTTTGATCTGATACAAAATTATCACCCTAAGAACAACAAATTCTATTGTGTAAACCATAGTCCAACTCCATAAGAATGAAAATTGTAACTTCAAAAGTACAGGGACTAAAATAACAACTTTCAACAAACTACAGGGATTAAAAACGTAATTTATTCTTATTAATAGTCCAAGCCGCCCTCTCCGTTTCGTCTAAAAAGCCTCCTCTTACTTGCGCCAAAATACTCGTAACCGCCTACGCCGGCAACAATGGCGACGTACGGCACGATTCCGACGTCATCCGGCGCCGGAGACTCGAAGGTCGAATTCCTATCTCGCGCTAAAGAACGCATACAAACAGGACTCGGCACGACACGGCCATGGAAACAGATGCTCGATATTCATTCAATCGGTATCCCTCACGGCTTCTCCGATGCAATTTCACGAATCAAAACAAACTTCGGATACTTTCGTATGAATTACGCTTTAATCGTGCTCTCTATTTTGTTCCTGAGCTTGTTGTGGCATCCGATCTCGTTGATCGTGTTCATAGTGACGATGGCCGGCTGGTTGTTCTTCTACTTCCTCCGTGACGAACCTCTTGTGATTTTTCACCGTACGATCGATGATCGTGTGATCCTGGCGATTTTGTCAGTTGTTACTTTCGTTTTGCTGCTGTTAACCGGCGCTACGATGAACATATTGTTGGCAGTTTTGATCGGACTTGTGGTTGTGGTGATTCACGCAGCTTTCAGGAAGACGGATGATTTGTTCTTAGACGAAGATGGCGTTGATGCGGTTTCTTCGCCATAGAAGGTAGCATCAGAACTCGATTGCAGCTCTGGGTTTGTTAATTTTCAGTTTTTTTATTCATGAGTCGGAAATGTGATGTCTGTGATTGGTGTTGGTGTTGGTGTTGGTGTGTGATTTCATGAAATTATTTTTCTCTATAAATTCCAAACTTCAATTCCTTCATCTACAACAATGTTTTATTCGATTCCTTATACTTTCTGTTTTGCATCTGGTTTGTAGTTCACTCAGTAAAGGATGAAGTGATTTTGGTCATGGATTTGATCAGATACGTTTTATTAGTCACGGTTGCTGAATGAATCAAAAAACGTCCCCTGACATCATGTCTTTGGAGGCTGATTCCGTGTTGAAAGGATTGGTATCGTTGGTAATCAACCTTTTGCTTTAATTATACTTTATGTTTTAACTTTAAAATAAATCCAAAATAACGGATCAGTGATATTTCTAAAATAGTACTAAAATGGTACTGGCGTAATACTGCGAAATAAATCTTGATTTTAATATTTTGTTTTATTCTTTGTCTCTTATAATATAATACGGTTTTATGTGGTTTTGAGAAAAACGATAATGTTTTTATGTTTGATTAAAATTCAAATTTGAAGATCTCATAAAAATTTGAAGAAAAAATATATATCAATATTAATATCAAATTAATTATTTGATAGTTTTAATTTTTTTATGTACTTTATTATTATAATTTAATTTAGATTTGAAAACGAAGTAATTTATTTTTAGTTTAATGATATATTTTCCACAAGGATAATAATTAAGTATTCTATTAGAACTCAATGTTTATCCTAATTATATATTAGATTTTTTATATTTAAATGAATAAGATGTTTATCATGTATTTGATTGTGTTTATCAAACATAGAGCTTTAATAAATTATACTTACATAAAATCAACTTTTAATCTTGAATTTTAAGTAATATGTATTATTATATAATACTTTATGCATAAAATATGGTTTTTTAAGAGTTTTAGTTAAATACTTTATAAGATAATATAGATAATTATTATGAGATGATTTTAATAAGAAAAGTAGATCTACTCGATATGTAGGTGTAATAAAGATATTTGAGTTTGATTTACGTATGTATCTGATTTTGCAGGAGAATGTGAACCTAATCTCGAAGTGTGACCACTACTTGGATCCATGCATTTGTGGAGACAATAATTATATTATATATTTTTATATATATTTTTCAATGGCGATAAGGTGGATGGTAGGTATTTAATGGAACCTGGATATATCTTGAGTTTATTATTTGTGATCTCACTAAACATATATCTTGTATGGAAAATTGATTAAAATAATTAATTTTTTTATTTTTTTTAAGTTAATTTTTGAAATATTCATTATTTATATTATATTATAAATTATTTGACAAAAACTTTTAAAATCATGAAGTATTGTTTATTAATACAAATTACTTAAAATTTTGAATTATAAGTAATTGTGCGTAAGTACAACTTATTAAAGCCTCATTTTTGAATTTGTATAACTAACCGCAGATAAATATAATTAAATATCTCGTTTTAAATATAAAAAATTTAAAATATAATTAAGATAATTATTATCTTTATAAAAACTATATTGTTAAGCCAAAATAGATTAATTTGCTATTAGATCTAAATTAAATTATAATAAAAAAATTAAATTAAAGAAATTATACAAAAAATAGAACCTTTAAGTAATTAATTTGATATTTTAATATCGATATATTTTTTCAATTTTTTATGATACTTTCAAATTTATTTTTATTCAAAAGTAAAATCATTATCTTTATCAAAACCACATAAACCATATTATATATCAATACAGACAAGAAATAAGACGAAATAGAGGCAAGTGATTTTTATTAAGATGATAAAATTATTAAATGTTTTAATAATATAATTAATGTTAAAATCTATAAAATAGATAATTTGCAAAAGTCATTTTATTAAGATTATATAACTTTTGATTCTCTATTTTAAAGAAAGTTAGATAAATTATTAGAGATGCTCTTATTATTTATTTACCAATCGTTCATCAAATATTTATCAATCAGAGGTATACCTCTCGAAACTTATCGGGTAACATTCTCAACCATAAAACTAATTATTGGTAAACGTCTCTTACCAAAAAAACACTAACCATGTAAAAGTCTTTTCTCTTACTTATCAGGTAAGATTCTTGGTCATTGTTATGTTCATCTGATAACCGTTTAGTTTTATCCAAAAAAACTACTAATTTACCCTTTGAAGAAAATGACAAGTCTGGATATATCTCGTCTTTTTCGTACCTTACTTTTTTTTATTAACTTGAATATCCAATCCGCTATACGACTCGATTAATCCCTTGGCGACCACCCGCTTTGCGGGTGGCTTGAAGTCACCGCATTTGAATCTCCGTGACTATAAGGGGATTTTTATTTCTCATTGGATTTGAACCTGGTACCTTTGAAACTCAAGCTCAAACCAATCAAACACCACTCTTATGGCTTTCGTACCTTACTTTGGAGCAAAGTTGTTTGGTTTATTTTTTTTTTTTTTTTCTTTTTTCCGTTAAGGAGTGGATTCATTTAAGAACCACATATATATATTAGAAAAAAATACAACACCTAATCCTAACCATTTCAACCAATACCTCAAAAAGACAGATAGCAGTTTTATGTTATTTGTATTCTTATGCTAAAACGTTGAAACATTTGCATAAACTAATAAAACCGAATTAAAGACAGTGGACCGCACCTGTTAGCCTTATTTTTGACTTCATCGCTCAATACCATACACGATATACAAACATGTGACATGTTGGGTATTTATTTATTGATTACAAACGGAGAAATTACATGAAACATTATTTAAAAATTTTCATTTATCATTTTATGTTTTTTCAATTGATATTTTAAATCCCACAATTTTGTTTTCCAATTTTTTTAAAGTTCATATTTCTTTCATTTATTAGATTTTTCATGTCAATTAAATTATTTTTTAAATTAAATAATTATTTTTGAAAATGGAAACACGTTGAAATATTCCACTCAAGATGTTGACCTTTAAAAATTATTCACATGGACTCTTTTTATACATTACTTAGACACGACATCATTAAAATATTAAATATGAAATACTTTTTTTTTAAATTATATTAAAATTGGATCATAAAAGATATATGATAATAATTGTAAATAGTAAAAAATATTATTAAATTGATTATCGGTCAAAATCCATTCATTTTTATTAAGAATAGTGATTTGTCCCGATTTAGTGGGGAACCCAGTTCATCCGATTCGAATCGGGATGGAAATTCCCTGCTAAAACGGGTCCCAGGACCTGTTACTCAAACCGGGACGAAGATTCCATACACTTGAACTCACGGCTTTAAAACACGTCTGATAAAATATATATCAAACACTTTATAATTCAATATTTGTTCTCTTCCCAACTAATAGAAGAAGAAATTTATACATAAAAATGCATTTAGTTAATAAGATACCAAGAAAGAGTGTGAACATGAATTATATGTGATCATTTGTCATAATTAGACGACTTCAAACGACACCGTATAAATAAACAGTACACAAATATTGGTTTTTAAACAACAACTTGCATCATATCGAAGTGCCCAATCACATGCTACCTTCATTGTTACTGTTTCCACATTTCCCCAATCCATCGGCTTCCTCTCATTCACACCAATTAGTGTTCCGCCGCCAACAATGGTGACGATCGGCAGCACAATTCCGACGACGTCAACCTGCGGTGACTTGAAGGTACGATTAATCGCATCTCCGGCGAAACTACGATTTCAAACAGCATTTGGCACGAAACGTATGTGGAAAGAGATGTTCAATCTACATTCGATTAATCTTCCTCACGGTTTCTCCGACGCGATTTCAAGGATCAAAACGAACGTCGGATACTTTCGTATGAATTATACGTTGTTTACGTTCATAGTTTTGTTTCTAAGCTTGTTGTGGCATCCGATCTCGTTAATAGCCTTGACGATTGCGTCCTGGTTGTTTTGCAACTTCATTCTCCGCGACGAATCTCTACTGATTTTTAACCGTACGGTTGATGATCGTGTGGGACTGGCGATTTTATCGATTGTTACTTTCGTTTTGATGGTGTTGGATGAAGCTATGATGAATGTATTGGTCTCTGTTTCGATCGGAGCGGCGGTTGCGGTGGTTCATACGGTGTTGAGGAAGACAGAGGACTTGTCTTTGGATGAAAACAACATCGTGGAAGCCGGCGGATACTCGCCGGCGAAGTTACCGTAGATTGCAGCTCTCGGTTTGTTAATCTTCATATTTGTTTTTGTGTCAGAAAACGTGAGGTCCGTCGTTGGTGGAAAAAGCTGTGTTTTTTTGGTATTTGGAGGAGATTTTTGTACACAGGTGTAAAAACATTATCCCCATTTTATTTAGGAAATTTAATTCGAAATAACCAAATTCTTTTGGCTAAATTTAGAGAATATTTCTCAATTGATTTTGTTCAAAATGATTAAAAAGCTTTTATGATATAGTACAAAATGAAATATAATTGTTTACAATGAAATTATGACTCTTAATGGTTAAGGGAGACCCATAATACAAAATTATTCAAATGATTTTATAACTATTAACAACAAACTTTTTTTTTCCAAAAAAAAAAATTCAACTCTTAATGAGACTATTAAAAGATAAACAAACTAGTGAACTTCCCTTTTTATATATGTGTTATAAATGTGAGGTTAATCATTGGTGTTAGTTATAACTTTTTATGAGAATATTTAAGGCAAAATTGTACATCTAACCTATTTATTGTAACCAAAAAGGCCCCTTGTCAAGTATTTATCGATGTTCAGGGTCCATAATCTTACTCAGTAAAATATATAACAAAAACCAAGGTTATTACACGATACGTGAGGGAAACACCTTTACCGACTAATTGACGAATCAATTTTGATGGCTAAAAATGTTATTCAACAAGATAAATGAGAGTAGTGGCCCTTGTTGGCAAATGTTTACCCTGTAAGTATATTTGGTAAACGACCCATAAGTTGATTTAACAAATTTGAACACTTCCATTTTGTATTCGTTTTAACAAATTTTGTTATATTTGATGACGTTGATGATAAGTTTATCATTACCGAGGGGTGGACCCACTACCGCGTATACTGTGGCATAGGTCACCACTTCGTTCCTCCATCGTAATGTAAAAAACATATATCTCATTCCTTCAAGATCTTACCTTATTTTCAAACTATAGTCTATATATACTCGTTGTTTGGTTTGGTTTTTTAATTAGTCTTAGACCATTCACGATGTGCTTTTTAAGAGGTTTTTCGAACACTGAAAACCTCACTTTGAGGTTCTTCAACATAGTGGG